TATTAATCAATACAAGATAAATAATTGTAATATCACATGTATTACAAAAAGAGATGGTCCGAAAAAACCCAGAACTTATAATGCACATTTTACCCCACATCGAAAGTTCAATGTAGAAATCAATGGGGTATAGAATTTATAGACTGACAAAGTTTTTAATTCATAAATTGTGGACCCTGTCTTTTGTAAAAATTTACATTAATTTATTAATTTTAATTACCAAACCATGCGGCTTGCGTTAGCAAACTATGACACAAAACTACATTATTCTAGGCTCATTGATTGGCTAACCGCTAATTAATTATTACAAGTCAATTAAGGCAAATATGTGCAAGCAATCAAACTGGTTTAATTTCATTATATTGTATTAGCTTTCCGCCCGCGGTTTCGCCCGCGTGGAATTTTGTTTGTCACAAAAACTATCGCGCGCGTCCCTGTTTCAAAAAGGAAAAAACCTCAGATCATAGAAAGAGAATAGATATGAAGTCGCGCGTAACTACAACGAGAACCAGTGTCCCCACATTTCCCCCACCACAGCTCCCACACACACATTCAACTGTGTAAAAACAAAGCGACTGAGAGTCTACGACAACATGTGCAACCGGCTTAAAAGTGCTGTGATTGGCCAGAAGGCGTGCCTTATGGCCAATCAATGGCCCCGTGACGTGACGCACACTTTGAAAAAAGCAATTAGAGAGAAGAAAGATAAAATGGAGTCGATAAGATATCGATACTTTAAATCCTGGGGGCAAGGCTCGAAATTGGTTTAAAAAATGCTTGTATGAAAACCTTTTTATTATTATACGTTATTATTATGTTCTTTAACTTTTTATTTATAAGCAAAATACCAATGGATTTGCAATACTTACATGTGGTAAATGACTTCATTGTTCCTGTAGTTCTTCGTTTCACTTATGTTATTGCACGTTACGACGCATTATCCAACAATATCGGAGAACATTTCCTCAGTACGACTGAATCGCGACTAACCTGGCGTCGCGGGCGATGTTCGTTTCTGGGCATATCGCGGAGACACGCGCCACGCCCCCGTTTCACATCTATTCCCTTCTATGATCTGAGGAAAAAACTATCCTATTGTCCTTTCCCGGGACTCAAACTATCTCTGTGCCTTTCATCAAAATTGGTTCAGTGGTTTGGCGTGAAAGCAAGACAGACAGACAGAGTTACTTTCGCATTTATAATATTAGTATAGATTATCCACTGAGTTTGAGGTGAAATACTGCCATTTGTGGAGCATGTATGTGGTCATTCCGCGCGTCCGATGTCGCCCATTATTTGTCGCTCACAATGACCTATGAAACCGTTGTAGGGCTGGTAATATGGATTCATATGATAATACAAATTAAATCTAGGTAATTCACATCATTTTTCTCCAAAATGCCCATAAATTCCAGCTTCTAATTTCGCCCTAGTGTATCCTTCTTTCTTTTTATAAAAACTTACTAAAAATTTCAGTAGTTTCTGAGATCAGTCCTCTAACAAATATAATAAATACAGTGTTGCAGTGTGGTGGAGTGGAGAGCATTTTATCTAAACTATGCAGTAATGTTTTAATTTTTCTCCCTGAAAATTTCAACATGTAATGTTTAGCATGTGACTTTACCATTATTTGTCGTATTGTTCTACCATTATTTGTGGTATTTACTAATGTCAATGTATTATAATTATTTTATGCAAGCGGCAGCTGGTAACCCTGTCACCGACTTCCGAGCTATCACTCTTGTTCGACGCATAGCAATCAGAATGCTACATGTGGCCGATCTAGTTTGTGAGAGCCTTTAGTGTTTAGCGTATCCATTCTATCCATAACCTGATAGTGTGTTACTTAGCGTATAATGGCGCCCTTAACTTAATATAAAAAGTAAGTGTATCGTTGTATTCTGATTTAAATAGGTATTTGACCACTTTATACAAGCACAGTAAGTGCCTATTCACTATAGTCTTAAAGAGGCTGAGTAATCAGTAGATCACCAGATCATCGGTCCAACTAGCCTTCCCAAAGAAGGCGAAAGTATCGTCTTATATAATAAAGTTTTCTGGCTGGCCATTGCTAAATCACAGAAAGTTGTGCTTATACAGTGAAGACTTGATTTAGTAAGTCCTGATGAATGAGTTTTCGAATCAACTTTATAATGTCTTCAAGATATTCAGAAGCATTCACAAGAAATTGTATTTCCCCGCCTAATTAACAGGCAATATACTCACCTAATCAATTCCCGGGCTCCCATACACATGGCAACACTGGTGATAATTTGCCACTAAATTCGTGTATTCAACTCCACGGCACGTTCGCTGAATGCTCAAACATGTTCGCGGACTAAGAGTGGGGTGGAGTCGACGGGTGGCTGGATATTTAGGTGAATATAGAGTATTTCTATGTAATGTAACGTTCTTGCGAATGGACAATACAAGAAAAATGTGTTTGGTTCGTGACAGGGTGATATACTAGATATTTCATAGAGCGGCTCGTTGTTCTGTTACAAGTAAATGCTCTAGTTATACTCACCTTTTTATCACTAGCTTCTGCCTGCGGCTCCGTTTGCATTTTTTCTGTGGTGACTTGAGTTTGTTCCAGTGTCTTCTTTACCTACCATTTTATGTTTGTCTCGAAGCGCTGGCAAGGTTCAAAAATATGGAAATTGTAAAGAGGCTACCATTTTTTTTTCATTCACAAAATCTTTAAATCCTCATATCCCGATCGAATCTTTTGTTAAAGGTTAAATACTCGTATACTGTCGCCAATACGTAACCAACAGATTCCAATGCGCACACGTGCCAATGTCTCTCGCGTGACGTATGCATTCCGTGGATACTTACTTATTCTTAGTATTTCTTATTATCCATCTAATTTACTTGTGTTGATCAAAAAGTGAAATAAAATCTTCTTAGGGCCGATTCAACTAAACTTTTATCCGAAAATAACTGCTTGTATAACTGGCCACATTGACAGTTTCAGTATGGGAAATATGTCAAAATTTACTCTTGTTTGGTCGAATCCACCCTTAGTCGGACTGTCGGACACTTGTCAGAGTGATCGTGGTTGCGCTGCCATGACACCCCACCGGTGGGGTGTTACATATTCATTCCGAGGGTAGCTCCTGGCGATGTGCTTCCATTTCTGACGGTTAGAGACGTCGCGAGTACACTGGACCATGGTTGACTCCAGTAGCCTTTGTGATGGCGTCTATGCAGCGGGTTGGCGATCGACAGCGTGCCAACCCGCTGTCTCCATCTCCAAAACGTGACCAAAGAACTTCTGTATGCGTGGTTGCACAGTTGACGATAGTCTATAGAAATAAAATAATCCCGTTCAAACTCTAGATCAGTTGTTCTTAACCGGTGGTCCGCGGACCGCTGGTGGTCCCTGGAGGCATTCCAAGTGGTCCACGAAGACATCGTAATAAACAAGTGATGTGACGTGATGTGAGTAGAGTCAATACAACGCAAACGGTCGCACAGTGGGCGAGAAATCGACCTCCCCTTTCATAGGGTTTTGAAAAAAAATAAGTGGTCCTTGACAAGACAGAAACTTGGTAAAATGGTCCCTCGTGACTTAAAGGTTAAGAACCACTGCTCTAGATTTATCTAGAGTTAAATACTCAAACGGATTCCAATCCGCACACGTGCCAGCCAATGTCGTCTCGTGACGTATGCATTCCATGGATGGAGTCGCCCGTCTCTGCGCATAATAATTAAAAAACTATTTTTGTTGCCGATCTATCAATAGTACGGGAAATGGTGATAAGTTGAATCCTATTGTAAGCGTGATCGGTTCTAGGAATCTAGAATTTGAGTCAATTCTTTTGTGTATAAAGGTTTAAAAAGTTCATAATGCAATGTGTCATTTATTAGTCAGTCAGTTAAATATGTATGTTTAAAAATAAATATTAACAATGTGACGTATGATGATAGTTATTCTGATTATGGAATTTTCTACTTTTAACTAGTTTGTGGTAAAATCTAAATATACTGACATAGTGATCTATTAACGGACAGCCCAAACCACTGGACGGTTCGGGCTGAAAGGACAGTGCCAATCCATGTATGGAAGTTGGACCAAGTGCTGCCCAGAATGAAACTATAGTGCATTTTGTTCCTCAGGCCAATACTAATTTGTAAACCGGAGCGCACTGAAATCTATCCCTGGAATTAAGAGAAAAAAAGAGTTTTGTTTTGAATTATTTACATACACAATATCATCGATGTATACCTACTACGCATAGGATTTCGCGATTTTGGCATTAAATAACACTCGCTATGTTGATCTTAACCATACTGCATCCGTACACCTTACTTTAGTACGACTTCGACATTATTTATAAGCGATCAAGCGCTGTTTCAGTAGTTTAGTTAGTTGACCGAAATTAATTATTTCCAAAATGGAGCAAGAAGTTTTAGCTTACAATAACTTCAATAATCGATTGTAATACACCAATAAATTGATTTTTCGCAAGGATAGAGAACTAAAACTAATTGCTTCATTTTGGAAATAATGATTTTTGTCAACTAACCAAACTTATTATTAGCTTTTAATAAACCAATAAAAACCTCCTTATTACCTCATTGATTAGTAAGCAACTTAATTCATATCAAAAAACCTTCGTCTAACTGAAGCTACGTAATCACAAAATTATACCAAGTCGTTTATTAAGCCTCCAGTTAATTGCTGTTTACAGAGATGATGAAACATTGTTTATGAACAGTTTATAAACAGTGTTTATCAACAAATGTTGTCTAGTGAATAGGTACATGGCTTTATCCGTCAAACGGTCAATCGCACAGTCTAGGGTGATAATACTAGGGTGTAATGGCGAGGGACCTCTACATGATGCACGCCGAGCAACGTCCGTATGTTTTAAACACGCATCTAAATGATGTAGGTATTGTCTAAAAGCTACCGCACCGATGACTCTTAGGCATCGCTAGTTTTTGATTTTCATCTTTAATACAGATATCATAAAGTTCACTTTCCAATACAGGTAATCGAAGATGACTCGCCTCTCCAGCAAGTGATAGACATGCTGCCAGAACTGGTGGAAAGCATCTACATGATGTGGGTCTTATCTAAGGGCTACCGCACCGATGAGACGATGGTGCCGCTTCTATCGAGGATCTCGTGGGCTCTTTGTGACAAGCTTGAGCGGTTCCTGAATGTGCATAAGTTGTTTGAGTGAGTATGATTTTGTAATAACAATATGTGTGTGTGTGTTACTTTATAAGGGTTTTCCTAATAGCAAGTAAGGTACTGTTACTTGCTTATGTCTAAGACAGTGGTTAAGTCTGCTGATTAAACGATAGGAGGACTACTGCATTTACAATCATGAGATTGGCACTACTGTCGAGTAAGGTCCTATCACTCGCCAGTGGCGCAAACTGCAGGTGAGGTCAATAAGGAAACCCTCATTACGTTGAACGACAACGATTGTCAACTTAATTTTACTACTAACTTACTATAACATCGCTTCTCGGCCTTTTGGCTAAGATCAAAGTGTAAAGTGAAACTTACTATAAACATGATTGCAATAGCTATTAAATATTCTTAAGCAACTCGATTGTTTATTTCAGCAAGCCAAACGAAGAAGTGCTAACCCTAGCTCGAGCCGGTCAGAAAATAATGGAGATGTGGCATATACTTTACAAGGAGACCCGCCGGAACATCGAACTCAGTGGAAAAGGTGCCCGCTGGGAATTCGACCAGCCGCTACTGTTCACTCGTACCGACTACATAGGGACTGTTGCTAGAGACTTGGGAGATGTCGTTCAGGTTTGGAAATGAAGTATTATTTACCTCTTTCTCTCTCATACACATTGGAAATATAGCGTATACTGTACAAAGAGACCCGCCGGAACATCGAACTCAGTGGAAAAGGCGCACGCTGGGAATTCGACCAACCGCTACTGTTCACGCGTACGGATTACATAGGGACTGTTGCTAGAGACTTGGGCGATGTAGTTCAGGTTTGAAAATAAAGTATTACTTACCTCTTTTCTCTCTCACACACGTTGAAAATGTGACACTACACTGTACAAAGAGACCCGGCGGAACATTGAACTCAGTGGAAAAGGCGCACGCTGGGAATTCGACCAACCGCTACTGTTCACGCGTACCGATTACATAGGGACTGTTGCTAGAGAACTGGGAGATGTCGTTCAGGTTTGTTAACCTATTATTAATCTCTTTACTCTCTCACACACGTTGGAAATGTGGTACTATACTGTACCACCAGACCCGCTGAAAAGCCAAACTCGCGTTGTAAGGGCGCCCGCTGAGAATTCGACCAGTCGCTACTGACATTACTACATTGGGAGAGACCTAAGCGATGTCGTTCAGGTTTGTAAATTGACTATTATTTACCTCTATCTCTCTCTCTCTCTCTCTCTCTTTATTTCTTTCTTTCTTTCTCTCGCTTCCCCCTCTCGTGTTCCTCTGCAAAGAATTCAGTTAGTCACTGGTATTTGTAGTGTGCACTGAAACTTTCGTTAAGAGTGTGGTTTCGCGTTTTTATCACCCTTTAGAACCTTTCACTCGCTCTTGATTTCTTTCTTTAACCCATCACCTAATCGAAAATTGGCATTTCCCAGGTCCTAATAGACTTCGAGCGCATTTTCGGTCTCGAACTTAAATCGATCATCAGCGATCCAACGCAGATCGATGACGTGCGCAAACGCGTCAAGAACCTCGTGTATCCCATACGCACCATAGACTTCAGTGTATTTGTGTTCGACAATAAAGAAAACTGGGACGTGATTATGGGAGACTTTTGGAGCGAAGTGCGCTATTTGGAGGAGGAAGCGAAGAACTATATTAATCAAAGCTTTGGTAACTTAAGGTAAGTCTTCATCTTCAGGCTATTTAGTATCCAATGCAAGAGGATGATAATGATAATGATAATGATAACAATTTATTTGCATAAGACATCTAAATGTATCAGATGACTAAGGCTGGGTTGCACCATTTTACTTTAACTTTAACAAACGTCATATATCTGTTAAACTCCATACAAAAACCACCGGTTATCGTTATAGTTACAGTCAAAGTTGGGTGGTGTCTAAATTAGCCTAAATCAAAAGCAAAAGCAAAGAGAGAATTTAGCTTAAACTTCCTCACTGGCCAGATGGGTTGGGGAGGCCTGACCCTGATGTTTGCATATTTATTCCTTCTTCTTAATGTCATCTGGCAATATAACTCCCTGTTATTTATTGTTGTCTTTTTAAATATACATAATACATAACCATACCAAACAATACTCTTCTCAGGTCGTCCGAAGAGGCTTTGACAGTGTTGCTGAAGTTTTTGGAGTTTGACACTCGCGAGTCCATACGTCGGCAACTGTCAACCAAATTTGATCTTGTCATGCGCCAGTTCATCAAGGAGATCACTGCTATTGAAGACAAGTTTACCGTAAGGTCCAACTTCTTATCAATAACAATCCCGTCCCATTAATTTGATCTTTTGATCAAATCTCAACTTTCATTACCTATGAATAAAGGAGTATTTCACAATCAGCCTTTATTCTGACATCGTGTATTTTCCAGCGATTTCGTAAAAACCCACCTCTACTTCGGAACCACCCACCGGTCGCTGGCGCCATCTACTGGGCTCGAGCTTTGTTCAACAAGATGAAACAGCCTATCATGAGGTTCCAGAAGGTAAGTCCTGAGAGTTTTGGTAACTATAGACAGGTGGCAGTTTGTGAAGCCAAGAAAATTTTCTTATAGCGTAACGGGGTATATGATATTATGCCCACATAAGACCCGATTTCCATCATTCGGTTATAACTTGTGTTTTTTTATATCCAGGTCCCAGAACTAAACGAATGTGAACAGAAGAAAGAAGCGTTCATCCAATACAAGGCTTTCTCTAAACTCATCAAGGAATACGAAGACAACAAATACAAGGAATGGGTGCAGACCGCGTCTGAATTCGTAGATAACATGATGAAGAGGAACATTTTGAAGGTCATGTTCAAAAAGGAGGATGGTTAGTAGGTTTAGGGCTGATTTTTCAATAGTCATCTATTCTTTAACTGAAGAATAAGCTTGTCATTTTGACATATTTCCCATACTGAAACTGTCAATGTGCCAAACTTATTCTTCAGTTAAAAGTTATCCGACGATTGAAAAATCGGCCCTTAAAATAATTGAATAACTACTTACTAGCAAAAGTTCATAATGTCGTCTACTAAAATGTTTAAACTTCTTTTAGTTATTTAATTGATTTGTATTTTATTTCATGCAATCTATGCAATTAGTAGAAGGTGAGTTACACTTTTTATAAAAAGCATTATTTATTTTATATTTGTGGCACACACATTTTTGACTAAACAACTTTAGTCACATTGTGGATTATGATAAATTACATCTTTGTTGAACGGCAAGATGAAATGCCAAAAAGTCATAAAATATTCTAGCCTGCACAAGCTTCATGGCATAAGTATATTGAAGTGTCATTGAAGCTACGCTTCTATGGATATGGATACAATAGCACTTCTTCTTCGTCGCTACACTCTTGTCAGAGTGGTCGTGGTCGTCACACCCGGTCCGGTGGCAAGCCTGACTATCCATCGCCATTCCTCCCGCACTGCAGCCCTTCTTGTGCACTCGTGGAGTGGACCATTGAGTGCGGTTTTGACCTGGTCAGTCCAGGACATGGGCGACCTACCGCACAATAGCACTTACATACGGACAATCTTAATTAGTTTGTAAGTTTTAATACATTTTTTGTAATATCAGAGCCGCCACCCAGCGGCGGCCGGGGCATGCAAGTGACGGCAGCGGGGAGAGCGCATATGGCCAAGAAAAAGGCGTCGCTGGCTTCGCTGCATCCCGCCGATATTGTCAATAAGGAGATCGCCGATAAACGAAAAAGGGACAAAGCTTGTGAGTATATTCTTTTCTCAAAAAGGTATATTTTATCTTGTACATTAGGTATTTTCAAAAGGTTTGTTATTAGTTGGCGATTCAATAAAATTATTTTAGTGGCAATAGTGGCATATAATAAGACTACAAAAAAAAGCTGTATTGTAGTCCTATCATATCCATTACTATAAAAAACAACAGACAGAGAAAAAGAATCGGAAAAAAATTGTCAGATAATGAATAATATCTTATTACATTGTCCCATTAATCCATTTTCTTATTTACAGTAATGTTGATGAGGATTCCCGGTCAACATTACGAGAATGTTCGATCGCCGAGTTCAGTGTCACTTTTGGCGAAAGAGGGATTGGTAAGAGCCGTCTATTTTGCAATGCCTTTGAACAGGAATGTGCGTAACACATATAGGAATCTGTACAACAAATGTAGCTCATAAACTATAAAGTACTTTACTACTTACAATGCTTTTGGTTTTCAGACCGATGTAACATGGCGAGACCTAACGGTACACAAATTGATGCAAGAATACGATTTGGAGTTCCATCCCAATTTCAACAGGGACATCTTTCAAGTAATACACGAGGCCGAATTGATGGAGCAACTTGGTAATAAATAATACCTACTTAAATGGCTATTCATCAAAACATAATTATGACCCTTATTGCTCTGCCTTTAGGGTTCGATCTCCCTTCAAACATTCGAGACGTGGCTATGCAAAAGTCTCGGCTATACTACGAATTGGAAGCCTTACAGGAGGTGATAACCAAGTATAACGAGAACGTAGCCTCGCTCAGTCCTTCAGAGACGCATCTGATGAAGCGACATCTTCTGGACATGGAGAGACACATCTTGCCGGGACTTACCAGGGTTACGTGGACTGCGCTTGGCATTAATGACTATATCAAAGATATCACTAAAGGTAAGAGAAATGTTCTAGTACAAAAACGTCAACCTTATACTTGCCAAGGTTCATAGAGTGGCTTTGATTGTGTCTGTAACATATAGTATTTTTTCGGAGCGCTTTTGTGACTTGTTCAGAATCAGTACATGATAATATAGTCCAGCATAACGGATTAGCAAGCTGAAATGGCAATGGGCAGGGCACATAGTACGCAGAACTGACAGCCGATGGGGCAGCAAGGTTCTAGAATGGAGAAACCGCGTACCGGAAAACGCAGAGTGGGACGTCCACCCACAAGGTGGACCGACGACATCATAAAGGACAAGGAAGCGCTGGACGCAGGCCGCTACCAATCGATCAACATGGAAAACATTGGGGGAGGCCTATGTTCAGCAGCAGTGGACGTCTTAGGACTGAAATGATGATGACATGATATGGTACTATACATACAGTGCTAATCGAACGATCTCCACTAGGTTTTCCTTATTGTAATAGAAAACAGCTAAAGATTTGGGACTGTATGGAAGGCATCTGATGATAGGATGACGCTCTATGATATTGCCAAGTTTTTTGGGATATGCCCAGGTAAAGTTCTGGGCTATAATATTGTATTTATTTTAGGTGAAAGTTCCCTTCGAGCTGTATACAAGCAACTGAAGATGGTTGAGAAAGAGATCCAGTTTCTGATAGACCAAGTGGAACTGTTCGACTTGTTCCCGATCGTGCGTCCTCAGAACTACGTTGATCCTGTTACTAAGGAACCGGACGATACTTGGCTGTATCCATGCAAGGTATTTTAAAGTAATGTTAAAGAAAAATAAAGGATGAAATACCTTTTTACCAAGTTGCTAATAAAATCTCATTTACTCGATTGTGAGCAAGCAAAAGAGGCAGATAATGTGTGGCGAGGCAAGCGACATCTGTAGTGTCATTAGTTACGTGCGCATTTTGTTTTGTGATGATATTTTTTTTTTGGTAAAAGCTGTGTGTGACACTCTTTGAATCTAACAAAGCTCCATACATTTTATATCAAATCATTTTATTCTATCTCTAGGTAAAATATATAAGTGGATAAAGATTTATTTTTCCTTCAGAAGACACAGGTCAAATATCTCCTCTTTTCTTCTAGACGTACTTTGTGGAGGTTGAAAACGAACGCCTCGAGCGTGTGGCGTCACTGTCTCGAATATTCGACCGCATCGGGCCCATCCTCATGAAGCTCGAGTATTTGATATTGGGCACCAGCACTGGGAAATCGAATGTCATGACGTCATATTACACGTATTGGGAGAGGAAGATATTCAAGTGCCTTGTCAAGTTAGTGTTTAAAATGTCTGCTACAGTACAGCGTATGCATAACACTCCCGCACTGCTAAGAACCGAATTAGCTATGCGCTACACCTGCAGTTTCATATACTCGTACAGTTATCAGTACATTGATGATTTATTTGCTGGTCACATGGGTATTAGGTTGGACGTAAGCCTATGCTTACTTTCTTTCATTTTGGTGTCCACTGCATGAGCACGTCTCTCCTATTTACCAGAGGCAATTTGATTTTTTCTTCATTCCCTAAACTGGCCAGCCGAGCTTATCATTACATTGATCATTGTTGCTATTTCATTGCAGTTATCATTGCAGTCCAAATATGTGACCTATATTTACTTGCCTTTATGCGAGCCTACGCTTACTTGCCTTTGTAAAACACACACTCGTAGTCTACATATTGTGTGAGCACGTAAGACTCCGTCTAACCAGGCCTGTTCATCTCCGCGAGTTTACATCGAAAACNTAAGAGCCATCTATTTTGCAATGCCTTTGAACAGGAATGTGCGTAACACATATTGGAATCTGTGCAACAAATGTAGCTCATAAACTAATATAAATAAAGTACATTACTGCTTACAATGCTTATGGTTTTCAGACCGATGTAACATGGCGAGATCTAACCGTACACAAATTAATGCAAGAATACGATTTGGAGTTCCATCCCAATTTCAACAGGGACATCTTTCAAGTAATACACGAGGCTGAATTAATGGAGCAACTTGGTAATTAATAATACCATCAGTTTAAATGATTATATTCAGTAAAATATTATTATGTACCTTATGTTCCTACTTTTAGGGTTCGATCTCCCATCAAACATCCGAGACGTGGCCATGCAAAAGTCCCGGCTATACTACGAATTAGAGGCCTTACAGGAGGTTATAACCAAGTATAACGAAAACGTAGCCTCGCTCAGTCCGTCTGAGACGCATCTCATGAAGCGACATCTTCTGGACATGGAGAGACACATCTTGCCGGGACTTACCAGGGTTACGTGGACTGCTCTTGGCATTAATGACTATATCAAAGACATCACTAAAGGTAAGAGAAGTCTTCTAGTATAAAAACGTCAACCCTGTAACTAGCCCAGGTTTATAGAGTGGCTTTCTGATTGAGTCTCTTAAGTCGGGTCTCCGGGAAATTTTAAGTAGGAAATTTTATTGAATGTTGACATGTTTTTGTTGATTGTGTAGAGCAAAACACGCACTGGAGACCCGACTTTACTTACAGTGGACTTTCAGAGCCCTTTTGTGACTCGTGCAAGAGTCACTACATGATGCTATATCGAGCTAATCGAACGCCGAACCTTAGTGTCCACTGGGTTTTCCTTATTGTAATAGACATAGCATATAACAGCTAAAGATTTGGGACTGTATGGAAGGCATCTGACGCTGTATGATATTGCCAAGTTTTACCTAGAACTTGGGATATTTCCAGGTCAAGTGCTGGACTAGGTACAACATTGTATTTATTTTAGGTGAAAGTTCCCTTCGAGCTGTATACAAGCAACTGAAGATGGTTGAGAAAGAGATCCAATTCCTGATTGATCAAGTGGAACTGTTCGACTTGTTCCCAATCGTGCGTCCTCAGAACTACATTGATCCTGTTACTAAGGAACCGGACGATACTTGGCTGTATCCATGCAAGGTATTTTAAAGTAATTTTAAAGAAAAATAAAGGATGAAATACCTTTTTACCAAGTTGTTAATAAAATCAAGTAGAGTAAGAGTAAATGTACTCGATTGTGAGCAATCAAAAGAGGCAGATAATGTGTGGCGAGGCAAGCGACATCTGTAGTGTCATTAGTTACATGTCCATTTTGTTTTCGTGATGATATTTTTTTTTGTAAAGGCTGTGTGTGACACTCTTTGAATCTAACAAAGCTCCATACATTTTATATCATATCATTTTATTCTATCTCTAGGTAAAATATCTAAGTGTGGATAAAGATTTTTTTTCCTTCAGAAGACACAGGTCAAATATCTCCTCTTTTCTTCTAGACGTACTTTGTGGAGGTTGAAAACGAACGCCTCGAACGCGTGGCGTCACTGTCTCGGATATTCGACCGCATCGGGCCCATTCTCATGAAGCTCGAGTATTTGATATTGGGCACTAGCACTGGGAAATCGAATGTCATGACGTCATATTACACGTATTGGGAGAGGAAGATATTCAAGTGTCTTGTCAAGTTAGTGTTTAAAATGTCTGCTACAGTACAGCGCATGCACACTCCCGCACTACTCCACTACCGTAAGAACAGACTTAGCTATGCGCTACACCTGCAGTTTCATGTACTCGTGCAGTTGTCAGTACATTGATGATTTATTTGCTAGTCACATGGGTATTAGGCCACGTACGCTCACGCAAGCCTATGCTTACTTTCTTTCTTTCATTTGGTGTCCACTGCATGAGCACGTCTCTCCTATATACCAGAGGCAATCAGATTTTTTCTTCATTCCCTAAACTGGCCAGCCGAGCTTATCATTACATTGATCATTGTTGCTATTTCATTGCATTTATCATTGCAGTCTAAATATGTGACCTATGTGAGCCTATGCTTACTTGCCTTTATAAAACACACGTGTAGTCTACATATTGTGTAAGTAAGACGCTGTCTAACCTGGCAATTTACATAACAGATTCACTCTGGAAAACTTGGAGCAATTTCAACAGATGTTAAGCGACAAGACACCGATGTTCCAAGTGGATGCTGCCCTGGTGCCGCCCGACATCACCATGCGGCCCACCTCGCCCGAGGTCTGCAACATCGTCGGGTACAACATCAAGCACTTCCTCAACAGGTGGGTACAGCGGTCGTGTACACAGGGCAGGGGACAGGGGACAGATGCCGAGCGACAAGACGCCATGTTCCAAGTGGACGCCGCGCTGGTGCCGCCCGACATCACCATGCGGCCCACCTCGCCCGAGGTCTGCAACATCGTCGGGTACAACATCAAGCACTTCCTCAACAGGTGGGTACAGCGGTCGTGTACACAGGGCAGGGGACAGGGGACAGATGCCGAGCGACAAGACGCCATGTTCCAAGTGGACGCCGCGCTGGTGCCGCCCGACATCACCATGCGGCCCACCTCGCCCGAGGTCTGCAACATCGTCGGGTACAACATCAAGCACTTCCTCAACAGGTGGGTACAGCGGTCGTGTACACAGGGCAGGGGACAGGGGACAGATGCCGAGCGACAAGACGCCATGTTCCAAGTGGACGCCGCGCTGGTGCCGCCCGACATCACCATGCGGCCCACCTCGCCCGAGGTCTGCAACATCGTCGGGTACAACATCAAGCACTTCCTCAACAGGTGGGTACAGCGGTCGTGTACACAGGGCAGGGGACAGGGGACAGATGCCGAGCGACAAGACGCCATGTTCCAAGTGGACGCCGCGCTGGTGCCACCTGACATCACCATGCGGCCCACCTCGCCCGAGGTCTGCAACATCGTCGGGTACAACATCAAGCATTTCCTCAACAGGTTCGTTCGCACGATTCCAATCGTTCGTTCGTTCGTTTCAGCTGAATGACGTCCACTGCTGGATAAAGGCCTCCCCAATGGATTTCCACAACGACTACGACGTCCAGACAACTCTCGCGACCTTTACGTGGGGGGCCTGCTCACACTACGTCTTCGGGCTCGTGGTCGCCACTCGAGAACTTTTGTGCCCCAGGGACCATCAGCTCTGCGAGCTATGTGCCCCGCCCACTACCACAGTTTGGTTCTCCTGCGGATCTCCTCATTTCTGATTCGATCACGCAGGGAACTAGATAGTTCCCTTAAATATCTGTTGAGGATAGTTAACTCTAACCGTCTTATATCGTCTCTCTTTAATTTCTGCTTCTTCGTTTTTCTCTTATCGTCGCTTGCCTCTCTAAGTGACGTATCTGTCATTTTTTTCGAAACTGAGTTATTTACACTATCTTAATCAATATTGCGAGATGAATCGATCTGTCTAATCGCCTGAAAATTTTGCTAAATGTCAGTTACGTCAGTTATAGAGGCAAGCGACGTTATATGGTGGTATAACAAAACTTTGCTACGCAAAACGTCGCGTACATCGCCCTTTTAAAGATCTCGGTTTTTAAAACTAAACGTTGGAAATTAATCAATTGTTGCAGATTGACAACCTTCCCACGGTGGATGAAGAAAACCTGCCTGCCGTGTCCGCCTCAGCGCATAGCCGAAGCGACCGGCAACGAGTTTTATGTGTTTTCATACTTTGAAGACATCTTACGTGTGGTAGCCATCAATGACGTCACCATGCTCATACAAGACACCATCTATCGACTGACCATGGATATCAATACTTATATTCAGAAGTCAGTATTTTTTTATCACATCTTTTAGGCTAATTTCTTGACTGCCTAATACTTTTTTTTTTCAAATCAATACTTGACATTAAGAACTAGCTTCTACCCTATCCGCTTAGCTTCTACCCTATCCGCTCTTTTTCTCTCTGAAACTTAGTAAAGAAAGTAGCACTTCTGCAGGAAATCTTATCAAAAAATATCTTATTCTAACAGGTGGCAGAAATACCAACACCTATGGGCATTTGATAAGAATCTATCGTGCGAAAAGTACATACAGAAGCACGAACAAATCTTCAAGTACGACGAGAAGTTCTTTTTCTTCGAAGATATAATATCAGACTTGGATGCTCACGTTAAATATGTGGATGTTGGAGCTATAAGAGTGAATCTTCGGCCCATTATCAGCCAAGTTCAAGGACATGCGCAGGAGTGGAAGAACATTCTGGGCAACTGCATCGCGTCCAAGACCAGAATGAACATGTATGACTTGAAGAACCAAATTGAGGTAATATATGTTATTAGAAAACATTTGTTGGATCGCCATATTAAAGTATTTGTCCCGTTTTGATTTTGATACGCCTTCGTCAGCATATTGCTTACTTATTTGCTGCCTCATTTTTCACCTTTACAGAGTCCTTTTCAAGAGTTACAGACCTGTGATAGGCAGTATCATAAGTGCCACTTGTGGTCTAAACTGAATAAATATTTTTGTTCTTTTTTTTATCTTCTCCAGAATTAATAACAACCCGCGTGATTTAATTTTGCAACTCAAACAGCTATTCGTTTGTTATTTTCTTTCATTTGTCTCGATTAATAGGGATCTTTTTAGAATCCGACCTGCTCCATGTATTCTCCATTTTATCATTGTCATCATTCATTTTATTGTTATTCGCAGTCTCTTCGCATGACGATGAACATGAACATCAAAGGGCTGGAAGACTTCAAGCTGGTGATGGCGACCATAGGTCAAGTGCAAGCCCTCACTATCACCGCCGAGGTCAAATACCGCGGCATGCAGGAAATCTTCCACATGCTCAGGCAGCATGGGATTGATGTGAGCATACCTACATTTTATACTCATTCATAAATACAAGACCTTTAGTTTGATAGTTATTTGACCCTTCTCTGAAAGTGACTCGTCATTTCTCCATCTCTTCTTTTAACATAGCATTTTTTTAGCATAGCATAGACGCAAAGTGTTTAATTGCATTCTAATCATTCACTTATTCAATACATTTTCACAGTTAACAAACCATCCCCTGCCTCCCTAGAAAAAATAAAACTCATCTCAGATTAAATTTTTCACTTTCACTTAGAAAAGTTAAAAAAAAATTGAACGAAGCGATTGTCACGTTACCTTATCTAAAGAAGCAACTATAGGATTTTACAATAAAATAATAAAATAACTTTATTAACACACATTATATTAAACATTTCTTTCTAGGTATCAGATGATGATCTTCAATTCGCGAAGAATCTAGAATCATCCTGGGGAAGTCTATACCAAACCTCGCTCTTCCGTGGCAACACTCTTGAACAGACCAAGGAGAAGTTCTCCAAACTCAACGTGGTGGAGATATCGAACTTCCTGAAGGAGCTTGATGACTTCGTTGAGAAGTTTGATAATGAGGGCCCGGGTATTGTGGGCGACGATATGGACAGAGGATTGGTGCTTATGGAGGTAAGTTATGAATCTTGATGATATATTATATTACAAGTTTCTGCGTGCTCTTTGACTGTAACAACTGCTGATACTGAATTAAACCCAATTCACAAAGATGTTAAAGTTATTTTCAATACCAGAAAAAACTATACATTTTTGGATGTGAAGTACAGAAAATTTGATCTAAAAATTGTGTAATTTCCTTATGACTCAAGGTTAGCCAACAGGCAATTAAGCATCTTCTATTTCACATTGAGATAAATTTTTTATTCCTCATATCTATTTTAGCAAACGATTTTGCTTTTCTAACAGGAATACAATAAATACTTCGATGAGCTAGAGTCGCGTAAAAAGATGTTGCAAGCGGCTGAACAATTGTTCGACAACCCTCTAGCCGACTTTTCCAACTTCAACCGCGCGAAAACCGACTTTCTGGCGATGGACCAAGTCTACAAGATCTATAAGGCACAGAAGAATGCTAGGGAAGTGTGGGCCAAGACGTTGTGGGTGAATCTGAACCCGCAAGCGTTGGTGGATGGCATTGAACAGTTCTTCAAAGAATACAGGTATAATATAGTTCACTTTATGTTAGAAGTCGCCCTTATCCGACCTGAAATAAGAGTTATTTTAATAGTGCAACTTTATTGTTAGGAAACTCCCAAAAGCTGTTCGTCTGACAAATACTGGCCTTATGCTAGATCTAAAGATGAAGCAATTCAAAGGAGTAGTGCCTCTTATGGTGTCGCTAAAGAACGAAGCCATGAGAGAGAGACATTGGAAAGAACTAATGGCTAAAACTGGTAAGTTTATTTTGTGTTACCAATACTTTCAGTAATTTTACCAGCTAAACTAAATGCTTCCAGTTCTTTCAGTTGCTTTAGCAACTAAACTTAATACTTTGCTCTTTGTTTCTTTGTAGGCCAGGACTTTGACATGTCCCCGGAACGATTCACTTTGGAGAACATGTTTGCTATGGAGCTGCATAAGTACCAAGACGTTGCTGAGGAAATTGTTAATCACGCTATAAAAGTAAGGATAAATATCAATTACTTAATAAGCAAGCTATGGTATTTCTAAAAATGCAGGCATGAAGGTACTTTAATTAGAGTTTGTAGCTGGTTGACAACTCTTCGCTTTCATCCCGTATTTTTCTAAGTTTCTGATGGTATTCGCTGTGTGTGTTGGTATTATATTGAATACGGAGCTATGTAATGCAACTTGTGCCCTAAGCAGACGATATCGTAGGTTCGTAGGTATGCATATGATATTATGTATCCATTTACTGACTAAAATCCCCTAACTCCCAGGAATTAGCCATCGAGCGCGGTGTTCGAGACGTGCAAGAGACATGGGGTGCCATATCCTTCACCGTGGCGCGCCATTTCAACAGAGGGGAGGATCGTGGCTACACCCTCAACCCTTGCGACGAAGTGGTCGTCAAACTGGACGAAGATGCCATGACGCTGCAGAGCATGGCTGCTTCACAGTACTATATTTTATTTTCTTCTGATTAATTTCGTTGCCGGTCCAATGACAGTTTAACTTTCCCCGGGACAAACTTGACCTTCATTGACGTTTTTATGGCGGTCAAGCTGTAGATCCTGGCTACACAGGAGTTGCAGCGGTGGGAACGAGAGGTGGGAATAGCCTTTATATTTTATTTTAATCATAGCTTTTGTCTTTACAGTTTCCTTTTTCGGTCAGTAACAGAAAAACTGTCGCTCGCGTGACCCTTTTCTAAAATCGAGATAAAATTTTATGTTCTACCTGGGTCTCAAATTTAACAAAACCACTTTCGTAAGAATATCTATACTAATATTATAAATGCGAAAGTAACTCTGTCTGTCTGTCTGTCTGTCTGTCTGTCTGTCTGTCTGTCGGTCTGTCTGTCTGTCTGTCTCGCTTTCACGCCTAAACCACTGAACCGATTTTGATGAAATTTGGCATAGAGATAGTTTGAGTCCCGGGAAAGGACATAGGATAGTTTTTATCCCGGTTTTTGAAACAGGGACGCACGCGATAAAGTTTTTCTGTGACAGACAAAATTCCACGCGGGCGAAGCCACGGGCGGAAAGCTAGTGATTCTATAATTTATGGTTATGTATTTATAATTATCGTGACTTACCTTTCTCCAGGTTCATTGGCCCATTCCTCTCAGTCGTCCATACGTGGGAGAGACGCCTGGCATTGATATCCGAGGTCATTGAGGAGTGGATGGCCACGCAGCGAAAGTGGCTCTACTTGGAAGGCATCTTCGTGGGCGGAGACATCAGAGTCCAACTGCCAGAGGAGGCCAAGAAGTTTGACGATATTGACAAGTCTTTTAGAAAGGTATTTCTGATACAAAATAGAAGTTTTTTTTTATAATATTAGCAATTTGTAAATACAAATTACTAATAACCCCTCGTGGTAAGATAAATATGCTTGTGTTACGAGTAGGTTCACCACATTAATCGAGCGGCGGCGGGATTCAAACCAGCGTTCCTCGGATCACTAGTCCGACCCCTTCACCGTTCGTATCGTGGCTATAAGTTTTCTATTATTTTATTGTTCTTAAAACATTGATGTATTGATGACCGACGACATCGTAAAGGTAGCAGGGAAGCGCTGGACGCAGACCGCTGCCAATCGATCAACATGGAAAGCATTGGGGGAGGCCTATGTTCAGCAGTGGACGTCCTATGGCTGAAATGATGATGATGAAAACATTGATGTGAATCACTTCAGCATAAATATTAATAATGGTTTTTTTTAATTTGAAATTGATTGCAGATCATGTTGGATACAGCCAAAAGACTAAACGTGGTCGACTGCTGCACTATAAGCGGTAGATTAGAAGAATTCGTCAACCTAGGGCTTGGTCTACAAAAGTAAGATTTTTAACTTTATTTATACGCCCGAAAAATGTGAAATCTAGCTTGAACTATGTTGATTTCCTCTTTATTCATTCTTTATAGGTGTCAAAAGTCCCTGAACGACTACTTGGATTCGAAGCGTCGTGTGTTCCCAAGATTCTTCTTCATATCAACAGACGAGTTGCTCTCAATTCTTGGCAGCAGTGAGTGTAGTTGCGTCCAGGAGCATATGATCAAGGTACTGTTACTATTTAACCTCTACATCTGCATCATACTTAAAAAGGAGCTTTATCATCCGGGGGCGTAGCGTTAGTTAACGTCAAACGCATTCGATATCGACTGCGTAAAAAAGTGACATTAAATGGATGACGGATTGTACAGCGCCCCTAGCAGAAACTTTCAAGAACTAAATTCATACATTTTTTGACGCAGGCGATATCGAATGCGTTGGACGTAAACTCACACTACGCCCCCAGCCCCAGATCACTTCTGACTTTAAATTCCATCCAAAAAGTTGAACCATCTCAGTCTGGTTGACTTTTATTGTGTACCAAGCTTAGATGCTGGTTACCGAGGAGGGAAAAATGTTGATAGTGTACTTATCTCCATTCAATGTGAGTTTCCTTTCAGATGTTTGACAACATCAGAGCTCTAGACTTATACGTAGATCATACTAATCGTCCAGTAGCTGCCAAGATGATCTCTGCTGAAGGAGAGGTAAAAATATTTTTGTAATAATGCTTTTTCACTTTAAATACAGGGTGTGGTTTTGTAAAACAACGCCCATCTCAAGAGTGGTAGTACACATGAAAGTTATTACCAGATAGATATAAATAAAATTTTAACTATAACTTTAATAGTAAAAAACCTTCTTCAAACGTCTCCTACAACTTTCGAGACGGCACTTGTTACCGCCCGCACCATCCCCGCGTACCCCGCTACCACCGAGCACATGCGGCCGCCGCCCCGGGAGAGCGGGGGGACTGACCGATAGTAATTCCATTTTTCTGATTTCATGGACTTTTCCATTAAAATCCCAACTAATATTATAAATGCGAAAGTAACTCTGTCTGTCTGTCTGTCTGTCTGTCTGTCTGTCTGTCTGTCTGTCTGTCTGTCTGTTACGCTTTCCCGCTTAAACCTCGCAACCGATTTTGATGAAATTTGGCATAGAGATAGTTTGAGTCCCGCGGAAAGAACATAGGATAGTTTTTATCCCGGTTTTTGAAACAGGGACGCGCGCGATAAAGTTTTTCTGTGACAGACAAAATTCCACGCGGGCGAAGCCGCGGGCGGAAAGCTAGTTTAAAATATTTTTTTTGGCATCGAGAGTCGTGTATGCTACCACCCCTGAGATGGGCGTTGTTTTACAAAACCACACCCTGTATGTACTAATTTATAATACCTTGTCTATGTTTAGATAATGGACTTCAGAAAAGTGGTATACACTGAAGGCAGAGTCGAAGATTGGATGAACTTGGTACTTGTAGAAATGCGTAACACTAATAAGTTTATCACCAAAAAGGCTATATTCTACTATGGAAGAAACTGGAAGGTGCCAAGGTATAATGTCTCGCTGAACGCCAAAATTCTTTGTTTGGTGTTGACCCTTTATTGCATAATATTGCCATAAATTGTTAATCATAATTAGAACCTTATATCATTGAAAGAGTTAAAAGCAATGAAAGAAAATTGGTTTTTTATTCAGAACGGAATGGATCCTCGAGTATCAAGGCATGGTGTGTCTAGCAGCCAACGGTGTGTGGTGGACAGCCGAAACGGAAGAGACGTTCATTCGTATAAGAAAAGGCAATAAAAGGGCCATGAAGGAACATTTGCAGCAACAGAACGAGCAATTGGACGGACTTGTAGTCAAAGTGCGACTAGGTACTACTGTAATCAGTATGGATATGTATGCTGTTAATCAGTATGGAAATGTATGAAAGTGCGCACATTACACCGATTTGCTATTGGCCGATTCTTCATACAAATTAAAATCGGGCCCAACTATCGGCCAACTAAAAGTTGGTGGTCTGCGCCTCTTAATGTATTATTGTTATTTATAGGCCGATAGTTGGGTCGGGCTCTTGATAGCTGTATGGAGATGTATAAAGGGCGCACATTACACCGATTTGGTATCGGCCGATTGAAGAATGTATGAAGATACAAATTAGAATCGGGCCCAACTATCGGCAACTAAAAGTCGGGGGTCTGCGCCCAGGCTTAGTGTGTCATTTCATCTAGATTGCAACGGCCGTGGTCACAGGACCGAAACCATGTTTTCATCATCATCATCATCTCAGCCATAGGACGTCCACTTCTGAACATAGGCCTCCCCCAATGCTTTCCATGCTGCCCGGTTGGTAGCGGCCTGCGTCCAGCGCCTTCCTGCTACCTTTACGATATCGTCGGTCCACCTTGTGGGTGGACGTCTCACGCTGCGTTTTCTAGTACACGGCCTCCACTCCAGAACCTTGCTGCCCATGTTTTAGTTCTCCATATATTTAATTTTATGTCGTCATTGTTTTATCCTATCTCCTATCCAAAGTTATTGTGTCTACTTTCAGACCTATCCTCAAACGACCGGCTGAAATTCCGCACTATTACAACAATCGACGTGCACGCACGAGACATCATCGAGGGATTCGTGCGAGATAACGTGACAGAAGCGGCCGAGTTCGACTGGGAGAGCCAGCTGCGCTTTTACTGGCTGAAGAAAGACGACAATCTATGGATCAGGCAGTGTACTGGTGAGTCCGCAAGTTCCGTTATCAATAATCGACGTGCACGCACGAGACATCATCGAGGGATTCGTGCGAGATAACGTGACAGAAGCGGCCAAGTTCGACTGGGAGAGCCAGCTGCGCTTTTACTGGTTGAAGAAAGATGACAATCTATGGATCAGGCAGTGTACTGGTGAGTCCGCAAGTTCCTTAAAATAACAACCATTGATGTGCACGCACGATACATCATCGAGGGATTCGTGCGAGATAACGTGACAGAAGCGGCCGAGTTCGACTGGGAGAGCCAGCTGCGATTCTACTGGCTGAAGAAAGATGACAATCTATGGATCAGGCAGTGTACTGGTGAGTCCGCAAGTTCCTTAAAATAACAACCATTGACGTGCACGCACGAGACATCATCGAGGGATTCGTGCGAGATAACGTGACAGAAGCGGCCGAGTTCGACTGGGAGAGCCAGCTGCGCTTCTACTGGCTGAAGAAAGACGACAATCAATGGATCAGGCAGTGTACTGGTGAGTCCGCAAGTTCCGTATAATATCAGATCGTTCGTTTCAGCCGAAAGACGTCCACTGCTGGACAAAGGCCTCCCCCAAGGATTTCCACAAAGACCGGTCCTGCGCCGCTTGCATCCAGGTACTTCCCGCGACCTTCACCAGATCGTCGGTCCACCTAGTGGGAGGCCTGCCCACGCTACGTCTTCCAGCTCGTGGTCGCCACTCAAGAACTTTCCTGCCCCAGCGGCCATCAGCTCTTCGAGCTATGTGCCCCGCCCACTGCCACTTGATTTTAGCGATTCTGCGGGCTATGTCAGTCACTCTGGTTCTCCTACGGATCTCCTCATTTCTGATTCGATCACGCAGGGAAACTCCGAGCATAGCACGCTCCATCGCTCTTTGGGTGACCTTGAGCCTTCTTATGAGGCCTTAATATCAGATACCTTTGTCATAATAGTATAAATTTTCAGCGCAATCTTTTAAGTGTTTTAAACTTTTTATGTTGCATTTTTACCTACATTTTTGTAACCTGTTTACCTTTATAAAAGTGTTTTGTTGCCAAATCCCGTAGTAGTGATAATTTATAATCTGTTAAATGAGTTGAGCTGTGTGTTGATCAAAAATTAATTAACTGTAGTGTCATTATTCCTAAAGTTGATTAGACCTTATTGTTTTGTCTGATTTCCAGGGGTATTTGAATACGGCTACGAATACATGGGTCTAAACGGCCGGCTAGTGATCACGCCGCTGACAGATCGAATCTACCTTACTATCACGCAAGCTCTCACCATGCAGTTGGGAGGAGCTCCTGCAGGTAACCTTAATGTTTGTCACATACAATAAAAAAGCAAATTTTTGACCTCAGCTGTAGGTAGTTTCATAAAAATCCTACTAAAATAAATAATTCAAAAGTAGACCGCTGTAATAATCGCTGTAAATAAGAGGAAAATGTTCCATGAAATAAAATCTATTCATATTGATAATACTATCAACAACGACAATAAACAACTAGTAAAATCATGATATTTCCTAAGCTGCGCCTCTCTTAACGTCGTAACCATCGAATGGTAGACAGGCCATCTAATGTTGCAGTGACGTCACATCGACGCCTCTACTCAACCAGTTCTTAAGTTGTTCGTATCTTACAGGCCCGGCCGGCACGGGCAAGACAGAAACAACGAAAGACCTCGCTAAAGCATTAGGTCTGCTTTGCGTTGTCACAAACTGCGGGGAAGGCATGGACTTCCGAGCAGTAGGCCAGATCTTAGCTGGACTGTGTCAATGCGGCGCGTGGGGCTGCTTTGATGAATTCAACCGTATTGACATATCCGTGCTGTCTGTCATATCTACGCAGCTACAGTGCATAAGAAGTGCACTGCTTATGAAGTTGAAGAGATTTACTGTGAGTATGATTATATCACAAACTGTCACGTCACATGGCAGTCCTCTCTCACTGATCCACTACAGAAGAATCCACTCAATTAAGAGCTATAGAGTTGGTCTATAAGAGGCATTTTACTCACCTTTTTTTTATCGCGCAATCATGAGGTAATAAAAACTAAAAACTGGAGGTTCATATATTCTGTTCACATATAAGTTCTTGTAGCTTCCAACCTGTAGCTTGAATCCACCGGAAAAATAAAGAGGATTCTTCAGCCACTTTCGTGACATCAGTGACATTGTAATAAAACAGCGATTTTGGTTAGTTACTCCTAAAATAAGTTGATATTCACTTATCCCTTTTCCTTCCTCAGTTTGAAGGTCAAGAGATCTCAATGGACAACAAAGTGGGCATCTTCATCACGATGAACCCCGGCTACGCGGGCCGCACCGAACTGCCTGAGTCGGTGAAGGCTCTCTTCAGACCGGTGGTGTGCATCTTACCAGACCTTGAGATGATCTGCATGATATCGCTGTTCTCTGATGGGTTCCTTACAGCCAAGGTAAGTTATAAAAGTTTTATGCGTCAAATAAAACCCTTGTATAGTATTTTTGGTTAAGTTTTGAAGTGTAAAAAAGTATTCTGGCAGTGTTAGGCTGCGTTTCCACCAGAGATGTGCGAAGATGCGTAGCGAATTAGCGAGGGATGTGTTTGTAAAGAACCAATAGAATCGCTTCATTTACCGAGGCGAGGTAAATCTATGGTGGAAATGCAGCCTAAGGCTGAGTTGCACCACCTTAATTAAACCGTAACTAGGTATAAGTTTATTTTAATAAGTTTGTTTTATTGAGTAGGTACTAATGTAACTCATAATATAGAAATGTCGCGTTGAGATCCGTGTTTCTGTAACAATTTTAGGAATTTTCTCTTTTGATGTTTTTCCTGACTAAATATTTTACAGGTGCTAGCTAAAAAGATGACAGTCCTGTACAAAGTGGCTCGAGAACAGTTGTCCAAGCAGTCCCACTACGACTGGGGATTACGTGCTTTGACTGCGGTGCTGCGCATGGCGGGGAAACTCCGAAGAGACTCCCCCGGACTAAGCGAAATCATGGTGCTGATGAGAGCTCTGAGGTACCGATTTTATAATAATCGATGTATTAACACTAATGAAAGTTACGAATTTTAGGAGCGTGAATGTTATAAAAATGTTTCAGGGCTCTTAAATGAGCGTTTATCGCTGCGTGTTTTGACATAGTTTTAAACCCAAAGACGTGCGTTCAAAAACAAACTTATACGTTCCCGCTATTTCGAAGGTCTTATTCAAATTCTTTATCTGTGTAGTATCCCTTTTCAAAACACTTGAAAACATCATAACATGGTTTGCCTTACCATTGATGCCTTTACACAATCCAAAAATATTTGTGTCTATTATAATTTTAACCCTTTCAGAGACATGAACTACCCGAAATTCGTGTTCGAAGACGTCCCTCTATTCTTGGGTCTGATCAAGGATCTGTTCCCGGGTCTGGAATGCCCGCGAGTCGGCTACCCTGAGTTCAACGCGGCCGTCATTGATGTGCTGGAGACTGACGGATACATTGTATTGGCGCATCAGGTTCGTACGTTCATTACTGCCAAATGACATTACAGGAATGAATGCATCTTCCAGTGTGGCATTGAACAGTTTCGACATATGGCAATATGACGTCTCCTTGTCTCACGCCTCCCTGCAACCGGATAGGTTTCAAGTCTTGATATTGGAGACAGACCGACATGATGGCAAAAAAATATAATTCAAAGATTTTTTCACTTTAAATGATTCACTGCTGTTATTTATTCACACACCACGGTAGTTGAGACCTAAAACTTACGTCGTAAGCCGCGCCTGCCGCCTAGGATCTGTTATTTTGATTATTAACTTTATTCATGAATTTCATTAACCCAAAACACAATGACGCCGCTCTAATGATTACAATTACCTGGATTCACCCACCTTTTGGTGACGCCGCGCCACTAATCATCATTGCCTCACCATTTCTTCTCTGTCTACAGGTAGACAAAGTAGTACAACTCTACGAGACGATGATGACGCGGCACTGCTCCATGCTGGTGGGTCCCACAGGCGGTGGCAAGTCCGTCATCTTACAGACCTTAGTCAAGGCGCAAACCAATCTTGGCCTTTCTACCAAGCTCCAAGTTCTCAACCCCAAGGTACGCGATACTATACCCTATCAATATCAACTTAGAGTTCAGAGTTATCTTGGCCATTGATTAACAATTTTGGAGAAACTGGAAAGAACTGTGTTCGACCTGTGTTCGACCTCTATTAATTTAGAGTATTTTGACACGTTCATAAAATGTCATTAATTTATTAGCCTTAGGCGGTTATCACACTGCGCCGCGCTCCGCCGCGGAGCGCGGGGCGACTGATTTAATCATTGTATGCAAGTACCTCAGTTTGTATAGAAAACACGCGCGGCACTTCACACTGACAACGCGTCTGCGCGCGTGATTTTTTATATGAAAATCACGCGCTCCGCGGCGGAGCGCGGCGCAGTGTGATAACCGCTTTACACAAAACGTTGTTGTTTGTATTAAACACGGTTATGTTTTTGTTTCAGGCGTGTTCTGTGATTGAACTTTATGGTATCCTCGACCCGGTTACCAGAGATTGGACTGATGGGCTCTACTCCAAAATCTTCCGTGAGATGAACAGGCAAGTTTCAGATCAATTTATTTTAGATCTGGTATATTTTTGTTACCACTTACCCAATATTATGTAAAATTGTGTGTTAAGGTATCATCAACCCTGTCTATAAGGTGTGTTTCTTTGTCATGTCTTAATTGTAATAAAGTACTTTTGGAAAAATATTCAAAGATCCGCACTTTGTGCAAGGATTTACTGAAATCTGTTTTTAATGAAAAACTTCGTTAGTAACTGTTGTCATTCTTAAATCCTCAGGCCAGCAGAGAGAGATGAGCGTCGATATTCTCTATTCGACGGCGACGTAGACGCCCTCTGGATCGAGAACATGAACTCAGTCATGGACGACAACCGTCTACTGACGCTCGCGAACGGTGAACGAATTCGGCTCGCGCCGTATTGCTCGCTGCTGTTCGAAGTCGGTGACTTGAACTACGCGTCGCCTGCGACTGTGTCGAGGGCTGGGATGGTGTTCGTTGACCCTAAGAATTTGGGATACCAACCGTATTGGGATAGGTATATATGCTTAGTTGTGTTTTTTCTGAATTTTCCATGTGGGCCTAGCTAACCAAATTACTAAGAAACAATGCTCTCATGGGTAGAGATAGTGCATGTGACTGCTTTTGTTGGAATCGATCGATCGCTCTAATATCGAGTCACTTGTCATTAGACTTGTCTCGATTATCAGCAACAAAAAGGGATAAATTAGTCAATATGGCTCTTGTACCCTAGCTAGACAAGGCATATGTCATCAATTAGTGCAACATGTTTATTTTTGTACCCATTATTTACTGGAAAATTAAGCTCCATACGCCTACAGCACTATCTTATTGTTTAAAGTCACTTTCTCTTCTGCTATCTTTCTGAGCATCTATTTCCCTAAAACTTGTCTATTTTCTCCGCTAGATGGCTCCGCAGTCGCAACAATGAAGAAGAGCGTGAGCAGCTAGCTGGTCTCTTCGAACACTACGTGGCGGGTGCCATCAACTACATCGTGTTTGGTATGTTCGGCCTGCAGCAGCAGACGCCATTGAAGACTATAGTGCCGCAGACGCCGCTCAACTTGGTAAATAACTATATGGTCGAACAACATGGCATCGGAAGTGTAAGGCTGCGTTTCCACCAGTGATGAGATAAGAATATAAGTGGAGCGAGCATGTGTAACGGCGTGGGTGTTAACACCAGATATTATCATCATAAGTGCCACTTGTGGTCTAAGCTGAATAAATATTTTTGATTTTGATATGTGCTAGAATAATGAACTGTGCGAAGATGTGTAGCGAAGCTGAAAACGGTGCACAGTTATGATGTAGCGGACGCACACGACCCTTTCGTGTGTTGTATGTACAAAAATGAAGTGATCCTATTGGTTCTTTACAAACTCATCCTCACGCATCTCTGATGGAAACGCAACCTAAAGATGTTTGGCAGGTATTTTGAGACCCCTATAATGGCCCTTACCTAACGAAGGTTGGTTCTGTAGGTGCATTATTTGATTCACAGGTGGTACAGCTATGCTACATGATCAGTGGACTGATGCCTAACAAAGAAGATAGCAACGAGGAAATTGACAGGACCGTGGTGGAATGTGTCTTCATGGTGGTAAGTGTTTTTTTACGCGAATCGAGTAGAACCTAAACGTAGAGCTTAAACCGTTGAGTATTTATCACCCTAGTAAGATATACTTCAATCAATATCATTTGGAAACGATTTCGTTTTATCACGTTTTGTAAATTCTAACTTGGTCTTTACAATGTTTAATTCTCAATATTTATGTGGGCAACCTTCTGTGTGGAATATGTCACATTGTCAGTAACCTTGTAATGCAATTTTGTCCACGAATGATATACCTGGTACGGTATTATAGGTATTATACTTTCACTTTCGATAGTAAGTAGTAATTTCCGACCACGTTCATATCGGGGGCGTAGCTCAGATGGTAGAGCGCTCGCTTAGCATGCGAGAGGTACCGGGATCGATACCCGGCGCCTCCAATTATTTATAAATACTTCGTTAGTATTGTTTTTGTTTAATAGTGAGTTAAAACATAAACAGATAATATACAATAAAAAAGGTCCTAACCTTAAATTTTTTAACCTCAAATCCGAAAATTTTGAAGTAAACAATTGTAGTAGCAAATCGTCAGCTAAGGATATGGATTTTGCGACAGGTTTTGTAAAAAAATACTTGAGAAAGTACACAGGTATTTGAGGGTCAAATCACTGAAACTATATAGACGGCACTAGTACTCACTTATTTTTTAAATATCTGGTTACTACACGATTTCTTTTGTAATAAACAAAGGATTTTCAATTGTAACCACCAAAACCTAATATTGTTTCCTTTGGCAGTCTATGTACAACAGCTTGGGGGCCTCGATAGTGGACGATGGCCGCTTCGACTTTGACAACTACATCAAAAAGGCGTGTCCGATGATGCTCGTTGAAGACACAATCGAGAAGAAAGCTACTACAAGTAATATTTCTTTTTTTACTACTTTTTTACCTGAATACAATGATTTGAATTTAATTAAAAAGTCGCGTAGACTTTACCGTCTTATTTATCAGCTAACCCTTTATAAGATATTATTTTATGTTTGCCCGTTTAATAAAGTTGATATCAGTCGTCAAAAGTTTTTAAGAAAAGAAAAAGGGTGGGTTATTTGATATGTTTGAAAAATTGGTCTTTCAGCTGCCGCTTAAGGCCGGGTAGCAGAGAAAATGGCGAAAATGAGGTTTTCATTTTTCATTTTTGAGGTACTAAACAGTAAAATTAAAGGCTAAGATTTTTATTGGGCATAGTTGAGGATATTTTCTAGGGCTATTAACGGATGGAAACACGATTTGATGAAGTTGACTCGATAGAATAAATTCCCAAAGTTACCTCTATTCGTTTTCTATTTATGGTTTTATTTTTAAAATAAGCGATTTGAGATTCTAAATCTTTTACTAAACTAAAGTTCAGAAATAACTTGAGGGCTTTTAACGGATGAAATTTTTATATTGCGTCTTATTTAGTTACTATGTTAAAAAATGTGGAAAAAATCGTCCATGACGGCTTGGACAATCTCAATCATTCGCGCGGTGGCGCTTACGGAGGACGGACGCGTGTCAGTTTTTTGGCCGTGACAGTTCGCGATTTGTCAATATTTTTGACAATGATGACTTTGATGAGTCACAGTATAATAATATCAGTGTCCGGAAGGTCGGGTGACGCCACGCCTCTTTGAACCGTGTTTACTTTGGCAGTTATATTCTATATTTATTTGATTCTAAAATATATTCCCAAAAATTTTGAAAGTTGTTTTAATTTGTATCACTTGGATATGATTTGTATTAGAAAGTGCTGTGAGTGTGACGCTTGAACGGAAGGAAGTCAACCTAACCTAACCAACTGCGTATTTCTATACTGTGTAGCCGCGAGAGCTCTTTGGCGCGCTGTCTTCGGCGAAGTATTGCGCGCGCAGATTTTGACAGCGCGAAATACCTACTTTAGCAGAAATACCAAGCCTTAACCAAATACGGCACGATTTACAGAAAAAGTCTAAATATAGGTTATCTAAACCCATTTTAGAACACTTCCCCATGGGATTCCCGAGTCTATACGACTATTGCCTGGAGCTAACCACACTGACATGGGAAGCGTGGGAGTGGCTGGTGCCGACGTACGAGCATGACAGGGACATGAAGTTCCCGTCGATTCTAGTCCCAACGGTGGACACGCTCCGGCTCACTTGGCTTATCAAGATCATGGAGAGTGTAAGTTTTCAAATATCTACCTGCGTTTCACTTATGCGCTTAATAAAAACAATTTTTTAGTAACAAAGTTTTTTTTATAATTCTATCTCATAAAAACATTCATTCCGTAATTTAGGTTGTGACCGTTTAAGAAATCTTCCCCCTCTCTTTTTAAAGAGCAATTTTTGTAAAATATTTTTATTTTCATTACAAAACTGAAAAAAGATTCTATTGGTGTCATCAAAATGTCTACAGGTGGAGCGACCAGTGCTATTAGTGGGTGACACTGGCACTTCAAAAACTGCAATCATCACAAACTATCTGCATGGATTACCAGCTGATAAATACGTAAGTTTTCAATAACTATTTATCAACACTTATTTCGAAACTTTCATCGCCAACGTCCATACCACGTTGAAAACACCGGTTCTCGTCCGATCACCGAAGTTAAGCAACGTCGGGCGCGGTCAGTACTTGGATGGGTGACCGCCTGGGAACACCGCGTGATGTTGGCTTTTTTGCTTTTTTAATAAAACTCATCAAAATATTACAGTGCATTCATCAATATTTTTCACATTTATTTTTGACATTGTCTGCCCGCGACTGCTCACATATATTTCATTAAGTTTGTTTTTGAATATTTTAAAAATATTAACCTTTGTTTGCTTGTATTTTATATGGATCAGATTTATCTTTCCAAAAAATGAAAATTCGTACGTAATTATGTATACTTATTCAACACAAACACGACACATTACGACATGTGATAAATCGTTCTTGACGATAATAATAGCTGGCCTTGCATATTACGTCATCAGTCTAATATTTATTTCGCAGCTGCCGGATATTGAGAAACAGACCGGTCTCAAACAACCAGTTGATAAAGTCGTCGATAATTTCGCTCTGTCGGACATCAGGGGGCGTAGCTCAGATGGTAGAGCGCTCGCTTAGCATGCGAGAGGTACCGGGATCGATACCCGGCGCCTCCAATCTTTTTGTTTTTATTTATATGTTTTAAGCTGACATTTCTCTTCATTTTATTTGCTAAATATGACATGAACATTTTAATTTCAATAAAATCATTGAAAAACAGAATTAATATTGTGATGATTAAATATTATTATTATCATATAAGGTGTTATTTTTTGTACTGATCAAACTTTACCAACACATCTAATAAAATCATACAAATAAGACCCAAGTGTTTTTTCAAAAAAATTCAGGCTAGTTTTCGAGTAAAACGACAAAGAATGTTTCGAAAAAAATAAAAAATAAATCATCCTTTGAGCGCGGTGTGTACTCGTTTACGCACTATCGTAGTAGCCGGCCGAGGGCAACGACCGCTGCCACGTGCCGCGCCGCGTGAGTCGGCCATATTGATATCGCTGCCAGTCGCTCCGCGCCCACAGCCCGCGCCGAGCCGCCTATCGGCATGCGGGAGCGCAACAACAAACAATCGTCCCAGTCAGTCCAATGTTGTGCCCAAACGTATTGCAGTGTGTGTGTGCGAGTTATTACAATACCGCGCTTGATAAATAACAAAACGCAGGTGAAATTATGTTTCGGGCACACTAACTGGCCGACGAGAAACATTGACGAGTCGAAAACCTTCACACCTTGCTTGTTTGGAGCCGCGCAGCGCTTCAGGGAGCGCAGCCGTATCCTGACTTGACGAGATCCCGTGCGCTTCGAGGACGAAGTTCTGGATTTCAATTTCAATCACCGGCACAGTGCTGGCGGTACCCAGATGCGAGCGCCGCAGACGGCGGCTTTTGCGTAAAAATACGGAATGCCTTATCAAGGAGTTGTTGCCAGAGGGCCACGACCGAGTTCTATCGATGGATATTGCGGAAGTCTACCTAGGTACATACCTACAGTGTGATTTGGACAGATGAGTGCTTGTTTACGCGAAAGGGACTTTTTCCGTAAAAAAGTTAGTGCGCGAATTGTGAATACAAATACAACATCCGACGTGGTGTCTAGTGAACAGCAAGCAAGTGTGCAGCCCGGAAGCATTACCTCAATTCGATCGTGGCTAGATTAGACAGTGCAAGACAGTGTTTACGTGAACATTCAACAAAGGCTTGACATTCAAAATGTATTGTGATTAGTGTAATAATAACCTAGGAACTTTAAATAACAACATTCAAAATAGGTAAATGTGTGAATAAGTAAAATCAATGAATCTAAAGTGTGATGGCAAATCATAATTTAGGAATTAAAACCAGGAAAATTGATCAGTGAGTTTTATTTACAACACCTATTCATATTCAATATTAGGGTGCATTTCCACTGACGCGAAGCGAAGTAGTAATAGGTATGTACCTATCAATTTTTTATTACGTCTCTAAATAAATTGCGTAGGCATTACGAAACCGTAGATATTGAATTCCAATTTCTATCCTTTTTTAAATTTCTAGTTTAACGCGGATGATTCGCCTCGGTTCGTTGGAAAAGTCCCCCGGTATTACACTAATGAAAATACACTTATTTACCTACTTATGTGGCTAGATTTTGTTTCTCCCAGCGCGTAGTACCTATTAACATGACGTAACATCGTACATACTCACGAGTGATATTTTTTGGTAACGTAGGTTAAGTGTAATCTAACCTTTATGTGTGTGAACGTTGAATGAATGCGCGCGGCCATTGTTCGTACTCGTATGAATGAAAGGAGTAAAGAAAGAGAGAGAGGCAGTGAGTGAAGACAGGATGGTTGTAAAAATAATATCTTTTTTTTGTTAGGAAAAGTAAAAACAAAAACTAGCCTGAATTTTTTTTTAAAAACACTTGGGTTGTATTTGTATGATTTTATTAGATGCGTTGGTAAAGTATGATCAGTATAAAAAATAACACCTTATATATCTTGGTAGGCCAAAGTAATAATATCATTATTATTTACCTCCATATGAACTACATAGGACATTATTCCTCTAAGACCAACCATGAAACCTTGCCTAAACAAGCAAGAATGTTACTTAAACAGCTTCAATAAAGTTTTAAATCTTATAAAACCATTAGCAATGTTTTCTTTATACAGATAATTCAGCAAATGAACTTCTCATCGCGCACATCGTCGATGGACGTGCAAAGAAACTTGGAGTCGGTGGTAGAAAAGCGAACCAAAGACACTTTTGGTCCTCCTGTCGGGAAGAAGATGCTGGTATTCATAGACGACATGAATATGCCTATTGTAAGTATCATAATCATCACATAACCATTATTGAAATTAAAATAATAAAACAAAATTGTAGTGAGTACAGAAAAAAGAAAAAAATCAAATTAAAATTATAAAACAAAGCTACTTACAGAATATTTACTATCTCACAGAAAAAAAAGACTAAAGTATTTTAAAATTTTGAAAATTTATCATTCTAATTTTAGGTAGACACATACGGGACTCAACAGCCTATAGCGTTGCTAAAACTACTGTTTGAAAGAAAAGGATTCTACGACAGAGGCAAAGATCTCAACTGGAAAAATCTGAAAGACATAGGATTCATTGCTGCTATGGGTAAAGCTGGTGGAGGACGAAATGATGTAAGTATCAAAGAAACAGGGCAAGTTAAATAAAATCGTTTAAAAATCATTAGGTTAGGCAGGTATTTGTACCCATATTTCACCAGTTCTTTCGCCAACGTCCATACCACGTTGAAAACACCGGTTCTCGTCCGATCACCGAAGTTAAGCAACGTCGGGCGCGGTCAGTACTTGGATGGGTGACCGCCTGGGAACACCGCGTGATGTTGGCTTTTTGCATTTTTCTTCTTGTAAATTCTGTTTGACATTCTAGTTGTTTTTACTAAAAAATATTTAATTTCCAGGTCGATCCACGTTTCATATCAATGTTCTCAGTGTACAACTTGCAATTTCCGTCGGAAAACACATTGCGACACATCTACGTGTCAATACTTCATGGTCACTTCATAATATTCCCAGATGAAATTCAAGAAATCGTCGACAAAATTGTTCAAATGACCCTAGATTTGTACAAGGTAAGATTATTTTGGAAATTAGTACTTATTTGAAAATCAAACATTACAATACATAGACGTTTCTTCTAATTTGAATACATACCTAGCAACAAGATACAGTAGAAAGCATTTGCTAGCGTGCTTTCGTGAGTCCGCTTGACAATGAATATCGAATTGCACCACCGTGACTATAACATGAGTACCGGTAACCGGTATTTTTGTACGGAGTTTGATATTGTTGAAGTTAAAGTAAAATAGTCCAATCCTCCTTACAATTTACAGTGATTTCGAAATGTTTCTCACTAATTAAAAGCTCTATTACAGTTTTTGGTAAGAAAAATAACATTTTAAACTATTATGTTGCATTTTTTACTATAAAATGACTCGTGCAACCGAGCCGAAACGTCGGGAGGGTAAATATTATTTACCGTTAAAATAGATATTGTTGCAATAAATCCCGTGAAGTGATAATTTTATAGAAAAATAACAATCAAAATCATCGTATATTATCATCAAAATGTCTTAACTAAAACTCATTTATCATCTCAGATAATAATCGTTGATCTACCGCCAACGCCGGCGAAGTTCCACTACATCTTCAACCTTCGAGACCTGTCGCGCATCGCAGCTGGAATGTGCCTGACGCACCCTAACTTCTTCAGCGAGAAGCGTGCTGTTGTACGCTGCTGGCGCAATGAGTTCACGCGCGTTATTTGCGACCGACTCATCAATGTGCAGGTCGGTCCCTCCCCTTAAGATTCAACCATAACCAAAGCGTGCAGATTGCCATCGCCGGCGCGATCAAAGTTCAATGACTGGTCGCGCGACTCATGAAAGTAAGAAAGAAAATAACTTTATTTTGGCAACAAACTCAGGCAACAAACAGTTCACTCGACTTGTCATTTCCCTATGATCGCGATGGCGATCTGAGGGTTAGTGTGGTTAAAGCATTAGTTAGATCAACACACATGCCAGATACTTCTTTAGCGAGAAGCGTGCTGTTGTACGCTGCTGGCGCAATGAGTTTACACGCGTCATCTGCGACCGACTTATCAACGTGCAGGTCGGTCCCTCCCCTTAAGATTCAACCATAACCAAAGCGTGCAGATTGCCATCGCCGGCGCGATCAAAGTTCAATGACAGGTCGCGCGACCCATGAAAGAAAGTAAGAAAGAAAATAACTTTATTTTGGCAACAAACACTTCACGCGACCTGTCATTTCCCTATGATCGCGCCGGCGATGGCGATCTGCACGCGTTGGTGTGGTTAAAGCATTAGTTAGATCAACTTCACATGCCAGATACTTCTTTAGCGAGAAGCGTGCTGTTGTACGCTGCTGGCGCAATGAGTTCACGCGCGTTATTTGCGACCGACTCATCAATGTGCAGGTTGGTCTATCTAACTATATCTTGGAATCGAACTCAAACCTAAAGGTTAGGCTAAACTTTAGCTCAAAGACTAGCCGGTAAAGACTAAGGCCCCTCGCCCACGGCAACTAACTAAAAGTTGCTAATGCGACTAACGACTGTAGGTATCGATACAAAAGCGCGATCGAACCGGACGACATCGGAGAAAGAACTGAGGGTGACGCTGCAACTGTAGCGATCGCAAGTAACTTTGTGCCGTTAGTTTAGGCGCAGACCACCGATTTTTTGTCGGCCGATAGTTGAGACGGGCTGTTAATCAGTATGGACATTTATTAAAGTGCGCACATTATACCGATTTGGTATCGGACGATTCTTCATACAAATTAGAATCGGGCCCAACTATCGGCCAACTAAAAGTCGGTGGTCTGCGCCTAGGCTTACCGAATCGTGTTTGCTTCGCGATTGATGCTAAGTACCTATCGCGTTTGCTTCACGACTCAATCGTGTTTATGTGGGTGAGGGCACACATCTAGCGACCGCTTTGCGACTGTATTGATGCGAACACGCGACTGAATCGCTACTGCATCGTTATAAAAAGTAGCTGTGGGTGAGTGGCCTAAGGGCCTACCCTAAAACATGCGCAGATGCTCCGAACGTCCAACGTGTGCGCTCGTCTATTAAGCCTTGATCACACGTACCGAGTAAACGGGCGAGACAGTAAAATGTTTACTCGGTCGAGACAGTTGGGTGAGCGAGTCACATACTCGAGCACTCGGCGTAATGTTCATACACACCGAGTACTCGGCCGAGAGCACTGTCTCGCCCGTTTGCTCGGTACGTGTGTTCAAGGTTTTAGCTGAGGCCCTAAAATGAACTTCGTATTACAGGACAATGAGCTGATGCGTGGCCACATTCAAGAGCACATCGTGAAATATTTCCCTGAAGAGGAGCCAGTGGTGCTGGAAGAGATTGTGGTGGCCGAGGAAGATCTTGTCGTTGAAGAAGAGGAAGATGGTAAGATTTTCTCAACCATCTAGAAGGTCGTAGCTTTTCTTAACTATCTAAAAGGCCTATCATAACTAAGTAGCTGTGGAATTATTTTTGCTTATTCTTTGCGCCTAGACGAATAAGACAAGCAACATTTCCAATTACTATGTCAATACTGCCGACACATGGCGATACTTTAGTGATTTACGCATTTCTCAAGCTACAACAATGTTTTACATAATATTCAAAGTTATATCACACTTAATCAAAATAATATAATGAGATTACAAACGCGGTCCCAAAATAATTATCTCACCACAAAATTACCATAAATATCATCAACAAATTAGCAGGCGATATTTACTTTCGCCTATTTTGTAAAAACAATACTATCATACACTTAACATTGTTACAGAGTTTGGAGAAAAAATTGTAAAGCCAGCGGCCGCGCCGTCTGTGGCGGCCGAGGCAGAACCGGAAATAGAGGAAGAAGAAATTGAAGTCGAAAAAGAACTTACGGTTTGTACTGAAATATGTTATAGTTTGTCGTAGCCTTCATTTTGTTTTAGATTATTAAAATAACATATTTCTTTAAATTATTGCAGCTTGAAGAATATGTCCTTCGTGACCCCTTATTGTTTGGTGACTACCGAAATGCTTTGGATGAGGAGGAAATACGATATTACGAGGATTTGCTTGACTACGAAGCTGTCTATTTTCTCTTCCAAGAGGTAGTGTTTTTAGATAATCATTACATCACTGAATCCTTATAAATGTCATCCTAAATTTTGCTCACTCTTTCGCCAACGTCCATACCACGTTGAAAACACCGGGTTCTCGTCCGATCACCGAAGTTAAGCAACGTCGGGCGCGGTCAGTACTTGGATGGGTGACCGCCTGGGAACACCGCGTGATGTTGGCTTTTTGCTTTTTCGTACTTATGTATATTTATTTACCTAGTGTTATTGCATTAAAATTTTGTTTATTTTTAATTTATAGCCTGACCAGGAACATATAAACCCTCGCCATGTTGCGGAAAACTAATGGTACTAATTTCTTTTAATGGCAACAGTAACTGAAAACTTCATTGACATGTCACCTTGCATGTCAGTCTATTGTTGTCAAAGTGTAAACAAACTTTATTTTAAATGTGTGCAATTGATTTTGTGAATTAAATTGCTAAAATATTTTTATAGTCGTGAAAGAAAAGTGGTTCACGATGTGTTAATGTATTTGTCGAAGAGAAATACTAAGGGTTCGGACAATATTTTCATTGAATAATGTTTCCGACAAAGGTTGTCAAATTGACTGACATGTTTATCGTATAGTACAGTCCACTATGAAAATTAGCTGTAGTCTGTTTCAACTACCTATTTTAAAGTTTTTTGTCACTTTCTAAGTTTTGAATTTTATGGAATTGGGAAAGAAGTACCGAGTTTGAAGCGTTCATGAGCAGACATTGCAGTTGAATATTCAAGTTCTGAATTTGATTATTGATGAATAATAAAATAAATCATACTAGCTCGATTGATGGTTTCATTTAATTTATTTAAACCAGGTTACCTTTAATAATATTTTTCGTTCATTTATGAAAATATCAAATTAGCCCGTAATCCTGAATCCTGATACATAAATTTAGCCTATTAATTTAACACATGTACGACTGTACTCAGTGTTGCACTATCAAATGCAATTGAAGCGCCTCTATGCCAGGGTTTTTATGTTCCTGGTCAGGCTATATCTAAGTTTTTCTTATATTCTTATCCATTTCAGATATTAGACGAATTCAACGAGCGTATCGGCAAAATGTCTGTAGTGTTGTTCGAGGATTGTCTCGAGCATTTGACGCGCGCGCATCGAATCCTGCGCATGGACCGCGGCAACGCCATGATCATCGGCGTCGGCGGCTCCGGAAAGAAGTCCATCTGTCGGTTGGCTTCATTTGCTGCTGGTAAGTGAAATTAGACCTTATTTCTACAGATCTAAATTCCAGATTATACTGAATCCTGCGCATGGACCGCGGCAACGCTATGATCATCGGCGTCGGCGGCTCCGGGAAAAAGTCCATCTGCCGTCTGGCTTCATTTGCTGCTGGTAAGTGACATTAGACCTTATTTCTACATGTTTAAATTCCAAATTATACTGAATCCTGCGCATGGACCGCGGCAACGCCATGATCATCGGCGTCGGCGGCTCCGGAAAGAAGTCCATCTGTCGCCTGGCGTCGTTTGCTGCTGGTAAGTGAAATTAGACCTTATTTCTACAGATCTAAATTCCAGATTATACTGAATCCTGCGCATGGACCGCGGCAACGCTATGATCATCGGCGTCGGCGGCTCCGGGAAGAAGTCCATCTGCCGTCTGGCTTCATTTGCTGCTGGTAAGTGACATTAGACCTTATTTCTACATGTTTAAATTCCAAATTATACTGAATCCTGCGCATGGACCGCGGCAACGCCATGATCATCGGCGTCGGCGGCTCCGGAAAGAAGTCCATCTGTCGCCTGGCGTCGTTTGCTGCTGGTAAGTGAAATTAGACCTTATTTCTACAGATCTAAATTCCAGATTATACTGAATCCTGCGCATGGACCGCGGCAACGCTATGATCATCGGCGTCGGCGGCTCCAGGAAAAAGTCCATCTGCCGTCTGGCTTCATTTGCTGCTGGTAAGTGACATTAGACCTTATTTCTACCTGTTTAAATTCCAAATTATACTGTATCCTGCGCATGGTGCGCGGCAATGCCATGATCATCGGCGTCGGCGGCTCCGGGAAGAAGTCCATCTGCCGCCTGGCTTCATTTGCTGCTGGTAAGTGACATTAGACCTTATTTCTACCTGTTTAAATTCCAAATTATACTGTATCCTGCGCATGGTGCGCGGCAATGCCATGATCATCGGCGTCGGCGGCTCCGGGAAAAAGTCCATCTGCCGGCTGGCGTCGTTTGCTGCTGGTAAATGAAATTAGACTGTATTTCTACATGTTTTAACTCTAGATTATCCTGCGCATGGACCGCGGCAATGATCATCGGCGTCGGCGGCTCCGGAAAGAAGTCCATCTGTCGCTTGGCTTCATTTGCTGCTGGTAAGTGACATTAGACCTTATTTCTATAGGTCTAAATGCCAGATTATACTGAATCCTGCGCATGGACCGCGGCAACGCTATGATCATCGGCGTCGGCGGCTCCGGGAAGAAGTCCATCTGCCGCCTGGCTACGTTTGCTGCTGGTAAGTGAAATTAGACCTTATTTCTACAGGTCTAAATTCCAAATTATACTGTATCCTGCGCATGGACCGCGGCAACGCCATGATCATCGGCGTCGGCGGCTCCGGGAAGAAGTCCATCTGTCGCTTGGCTTCATTTGCTGCTGGTAAGTGAAATTAGACCTTATTTCTACATGTTTAAATTCCAGATTATACTGAATCCTGCGCATGGACCGCGGCAACGCTATGATCATCGGCGTCGGCGGCTCCGGGAAGAAGTCCATCTGCCGTCTGGCTTCATTTGCTGCTGGTAAGTGACATTAGACCTTATTTCTACATATTTAAATTCCAGATTATACTGAATCCTGCGCATGGATCGCGGCAACGCCATGATCATCGGCGTCGGCGGCTCCGAAAAGAAGTCCATCTGTCGCTTGGCTTCATTTGCTGCTGGTAAGTGACATTAGACCTTATAACAAACTAATTTTTGCGGATAGCGTATTGTGTACGCATATTTTGCTCTTTCATCCGCCAACATCCATACCACGTTGAAAACACCGGTTCTCGTCCGATCACCGAAGTTAAGCAACGTCGGGCGCGGTCAGTACTTGGATGGGTGACCGCCTGGGAACACCGCGTGATGTTGGCTTTTTGCTATTCAAGTATAAATAAACCTATTTTTTTTTTTTGCTATGTCAAATATTCTTGTGATGAGTGGCTGGTTAGTCTCTTAGATTTTGTCCTATATCGTATTTGCAAAATTGTTACCTACTTTAGTTTCTCGGACTATTTGTTGAATTCAATTATTTTACACCATAGGTTGCGAAATGTTCGAGATCACGGTGACGCGAAACTACAACGAGAACACATTCAAAGACGATATGAAGCGAATGTACAACCAGCTAGGTGTGGATGGCAAGAAAACCGTTTTCCTCTTCACCGCAGCACAGGTTGGTAGTCCTTGAAGTAATTATCTCCTTCCATAGTAAACAGAAGGAATAACTACAAAATAAAACGTTAACATTAAAAATATTAAGTCCTTCATATTTTTACATAATAAGCCTTGATACAAAAAAGTTAAACCCGATGAACACTGGTATAATGTCATTTTGGTACTGAAATATAAATTTAAACTGGAGTTCAACTAGAGTTTATCTTTTTGTAATAAGGGGCCGAAAGTTCAAAAGTAAAATTAGACTTGTAGATTTAAATACGTATTTATTGACAGCTGAATCACTAAACTATCTTCCTATATTTTGGTGTTAACAACAGATCCTTGAAGAAGGCTTCCTGGAATTCNGATCATTCAAACATCTCTCAATAATATGTTTCTTCACGCGGTAAATTTATGCTACTCGAAACCCCTATTGTTAATAGAAACATCGTAAAATGGGGCTTCTTTATTACTCTTTGAAGTCAGCTGTATAATTGATTTTCTACATCGTCGACCTTTCTCCCATTTTCCCCTGAAAGGTGCAGATGATATCGTGGATCACGAGACGAAGCGATATTAAGCTATACTGGAGTCTATTGTAAAAGGCTTAGGCTTCATGCGACGTAAAGTTGTGTGAGCTTATTCTTACAATACTTACTTCAGTTATTACTTGCCGCATTACGAGTAGTATCACACGGGTGCAATTTAGTAGAATGGTAATTTGTGTTTACAAAAGCACTACTCAATAAATGTAGTTTTGATAATGTAGTGTAAAAAAAATCTAAATATTAACTACATAAGTTTTTGAGCAACGAAAGAACCTTTGTTGTTTTAGGTTCATGATAGTTGTGTAGAAAAGCGTCGAACAAGTTGTTTTACATAATTTCTTTCGTACCGAGCTTTATTGAAGAAATAAGCTTATAAAAAAAGCTTAGCTTTCTAAGTATTACCTTGGTCTTTATGTATCATACCTGTGGGAAATCTTCTAAGAAAACGAATTATCTGTCATTATTATTATGTTTATTCATACCTTTACAGTCATTTAACATAGTCTTTTTCTGTATACAGATGAGAAATTTGTGTAATATTAACAAAAATGTGCAACAACATATAAAATATCTTAAAGATTTAAGTATCTACCTATATGTATATTTGGCTTCGCCTTTGTAACCTCCTATGTATTTATGTTACAAACAAGAAAATTATCTATTCTTAGAACAAGAATCGTAGCCTGTACAATTTGTATTAAAATACAAGTATATTATGTATATTGTTCAACTAGTACATAAATGCATCTTATACGAAGAAAATTATTATTTCTTTTTTATTTCCTAAAGTAATTATGTACAATCTACATAATTATTATTAAAATTAGTCTTAACTAAGAGTAATAATAATAAACGGTATGCTTACAACTAAACACACTATGTGTGGTGTAATTTTGGCAAACGTTCGTTCGTTTTAATAAACTTTTGAATAAATTAAAAGTATTTTTGGAACAAAGTTTATTTTGTCATCTAAATAACGAGTCATAACAGTATGAATTGCAAATAAACAATTTAATACACAAATATAGAGAACATTCAAGTAATTTGCTAATCAATTAAAAGGAAGCAAACAGTTTGAAATATTTCAGTTTTTTATTCAGAATCTCTATCAAACTAAATGTAATCATAGGCATGATTTGTAAATTACCTACGTCATACATTCATACTCATTCCGCGTCACCAATTCCTTGAATAAAAGATGCTTACCCACGTATACCCAATCTCTTATGTTTCTTTATTAGCCTTGTTTTGTCCCATATTCTATTTTGTGGCATTGTAAGAGCCGGGACTGAATGGGAATGAGTAGGTATTACTCGAGTATGATACAGTTTACGACGTATAAGATTTTGTATACCGTAAAGTACCGTAAGTGTGTTAAATCGCTGTAAAGTTAATGGAAAAGCTAATCTCACAATGGTCATTATAGTCATTAATATTAAAACATTTTCCCCACTTGGGCTTGGTGCCTTGGCCAATATTTGGTAGGATATAAAACAAGATTTTGTCTCAGAATTTGAATGATTTCAAGTGAAATATAAAAGGAACGCTACTGCGGATATCAAGCAAATGTTTTGTGGTTGCCAAAAAAGCGTTCCTTTGTTCCAGGTGTCGTGGTGCACAGCGGCTTGGTTCTCACCTAATGGACAAACATCAACATTTTAACTCATTTTATGTAAAAAAAACTAATACGAACAGAAAAGGTTTAGGCTAGAAACACACAAATCGATTGTCAGTTCTAACAAATAAAATAAAATTAAACCTGTAAAAAAGAGCTAGTAGATAGGTATTTGATTTTTATAGAGGGCATTTACTAAATCAAAACTTTCGAAAGCACATGAAAAGTTTAGAATAAAATATTTATGATGATTGAGCTGTTTATTTTATTTTATTGTAATTGAAGGAGCCACTTCATTCTACAATGAGTTTTACAGCCTATTTTACAAGTTATTTATATTTCTTTTGTTTGCAAAATTGTACTTTAGTAAATTCAGAGTAATTGACTTCACAAAAGGTTTAATTTCTTCATCCAACTTTAATAAAACTTCTGCTTGTCAATTCATTAATTTAGCTCAAAAATGGCATACATTCTAAAGTTAGTATTGTTTGACTTACCAATCAGAACATGAACGTTCACGACGACTTGCGAGTGATTTTGGAGGAGGCAAGTATACACCCCGCTGTCATTTTGTGATGCAGATGCCACACTGATTGTGGCGCTGGAATCCAAAGGCAAGAATTAATTTGTAGTTCATTACAAATTCTGTTTTCTGTTAAGCTAATATTGTCTCGGTTTGACGATTGTTGGAGTGTGAAGGGCGGGCTGAATATTGAAATTTATCTAAGTCAACCCTGAATTGTTAAATTCATAGAAAAGAAGTAGACATCTTTAGTTTATATTAAGCGAAAACTATTGGTTTTATCTTTAACTTCATTCTTCAATAACTGGTGACTTTTTTGCGTAATTAAAGCTGTGATGAAAGATCTAAATTGTACGTTGGTACCTACAACGGTAAATCAAGCTTATTAAAGAGAAATATAATGCTAGTGGTATAATAATTGCAACTTAGCAACAAAAACTAACCACTATGCATACGAAACTGAACTAGGTACTTTTGAAAAATGGCGATCACGATACACTTAACTCACCTCATGTTGCGGAAAGTAACATTATCTAAGTAGTCTTTTCCTTGCTTTTTCCACGCTAGCCCATAAATATTATTCACTACAGGCGGAGCGGTGGGTTTCACAGTCGTTTTCAAAGTGCTGGTTAACTCCGGCACTTTCGTGGTACTAATGCTGACTGTGGAGGTGATAGTCGTCGTTTCAACACTCCAACTTTTGTTCATCATTAAATCTATTCTATTGAATACTGTACTCATTCTAGTTGTCAACTCCGTTGTCGTTGTTAACGGTGTGGTGGTGGTAGGAGGAGGGAGGGTGGTCGCTGACACTTTTAGAGGCAAACTGGTAATAAACTCTTCTGATATGATGCAAGACAGTTTGATTGAACTCCCGGCCTTGTAAAACCGGTCTTTCACTTCGTGGTTTTGGTCGCTGTATATTGTTAAAACTGGAGCTGCAAAAAGTTAGTGTTCATTAATAAAATTGACATCGCTATAAAAAGTCTAGTTAAGTTTGAAACTTTGATAAAATTGTATTTATGTTTGACTTTTAGAGCGCTCTAAAATTTGGAGTAATTACTTTAGTCGTCCCCGGCTGGGCCATTTCAATGAGTTAAGTATGTAAAATGAAAGGACTTATTTGTAAAGGCAATACCTAAACGATTTTGAAGTAATTAGATTGACATTTTGATAGATTTCGTATAGAAAACAAGACATATTAACTAGATAACTTGTGAAAGAATTTATCAGCTTTAAACGCCCATCTTTTCATTCTGCTGACTTAAGGTTCCGTCAAACCAACGCGATTAAGGTTCGGCCAAACCAACGCGATCAACCGGCGTGCAGCGATGGCGACCAATGCATTTAGGTCTGGTCGCCATCGCTGCACGCCGCTGATCGCGCTGTGATCGCGTTGGTTTGGCCCAACCCTCACACGTGATCAGCCGGCGTGCAGCGATGGCGATCAGACTTAAAAATGCATTGATCGCCATCGCTGTACGCCGACTGATCGCGTGTGATCGCGTTGGTTTGACTTTTAGACTGGACTGAACTGAACCTTTAAGAAAATCTGTTTTCATAAACACAAGTTTAGTTAGGATATTTAAAATAATCATAATCTTTTAAATCATTGAGGTTGATATTTATGTCGATGTTATAATATGTACTGCTTTGTCTCACCGACTCACAAATCTTAAAAATGTTGTCTTGGCACGTGTAACAATACTTTTAAAATTAAGTAATTAATTATTTACTTACGTAGTACAGTTAAGTTAACGAATATAGTTCTTGGTGGGTGCGTGGATATTTGGCACATGTAGTTCCCGGCGTCAGTCCTCGTCACCGGGTTGAGGCTTAACCTCCAGTTGTTTGGGTACTGGAACTTGACAGCTATCCGGCTGTCACCGGTGTAAGGCGACGGCCCCACCGTCAACAGCGTCGCTGAGTCAGTGGTGTTCCGTAACCACATGACCTGTTACGTGAAGATGGTTTTAGGTAATGGATTTTGATTACCGTAAATAACTAGACAAAGGCCTCCCTCCACCAAGTATAAATTGGCATTCAGATCGTCTATCCAACTAGTAGTGCGAACCGGTTGTTGTGTAAATCTTTGTTCAGCAGTGGACATCATTTGACTAAAACGAACGAACGAACGAAATAACTGGAACTTGACGGCTAGTAACTAGCTCTTGTGTTACATAGAGTTAATAGTAGTTTGACGTCATGGATTTTTTCTTAACTGTAATTGTGGACTGGACACTACCACGTCTCTCATGTTTAATTAAAATTAAACCTAAACTAAACAAGACTTATATGTCCTGTCTTCTTATCATGTTGCCAAATCCAACCATTTTGTGACCGCTATTTTAAACTAATGTGCGAAACCAAACGGTCACCGCTCAGTTCTAATCGGGACATTACAACGTGATGTCCTGATACTGGTTACCATTCATTATGCTTATCCCTTCCGGCAAGGCCGAAGATTAATAGATAAATGACCGTGATTTCGGGAATAAATGCTAGTACCCCGCACACTAATATTTCCTCGATATTCGTACCAGCAACCGTTTCCACCGGAGCAGTGCGGAGAAGTGTCTAGCGGACTAATTTTTCTATAGAATTAGACAGCGGCGGCGCTGAGCGGAGCTGTGCGGAGCGGATAATAATGAAATCTGATTGGTTATTCAAAACACTTCTCCGCTCTACTCCGCTCCGCTCCGTCTTGGTGGAAACCGGGCCTTAGCGTTGTAGTCCAATGCGAAAATCACACTAGGCTAAGTTGCACCACGTTATTTTAACCGTAACAAAAACACTATCTGATGCGTTTTCTATGGAGTTTGACAGATTTTTGACGTTTGTCAAAGTTAAAGTAAGATGGTGCAACTCAGCCTTATAAAAGACGCTTATTTATGAAACAGTAAATTTAGCAAACAGTCCTCATTAACTATAAGGTATCAATATCAAATTTACGACTGCCTTTAAACTCAAACATCCTTGTTTATTTCCAAGATAATAAAATGGTGGTAATTTAGGTCTACGTTCGTATCTTATAAGACTTAAGTCTTGCTATTTATCAAATGGGATTATCGAGAATTGCTTAAGCCCCGTTACAGCGCTCTTTCAATTCTCCAGGAACGTGTTGGTGGACGTTTATTGATGGTTCCGGCGTTTGAGTGGTCCAGGTGAAAGAAGAGTGGACTAGAAAAGGTTTTGTACAGTCACCTTTACACGTGGGAAGTAAGTAATTAGTTTTAATGTAGTGAGTGGGAGTCTTATAATAAATATTAACGCAAAACAACTTAAGCGCTTTAACTCGTATAATTTTACTCGTGTTTTAGTTATAAATTGCTGTGTATTTTTTTTGTAAACTGTCTCTACATTAAAATTTACTTGTAGGTAACGTCCTTTTGTAAGACAGCTTCATTAGCTTAATAATAGTTTCAAAACTGAATTATTTTAAAATCAGTGGGAAAGGTGGTTGGTATACAACAACTTTGAATGTTGCAAACATGTAATAACCTGGTACCAGTTAAGTTAGTGTTAAAAATTATTTTACAACTTCGTTGTTAATTTTAGCCAAATGACGACCTCTGTTTTTTTGTCCACAGCTGGACAAAGGCCTATCTAAAGGATTTTCTCAACGACCGGTCCTTTTTTTTTTTTTTTTTTTTTTCGTCAGGAAAATACATTGATTTGTATACCCACCAGCCGCGGGGGCGGTTAGTGGGTTATGTGGGGTTCTCCCTGCCAGAAGGGCAGGGCCTACCCACTAAAAACCTGACGTTGCCCTCGGTAGCCATATGAGTCGGGAACGCGGGCCATCACTATCGGCATTTTGCCTCAAGCATTCGTCCGCGTTCCCTGCTCGGCATTTCACTCGCTTAAACCAAGCCCAGCCCAACCAAGGCGTTATCACGCCTTCAACCTCCTGCGAGCGGCACGCAGGCAGGACACGTGCTGCGCCGTCGCGGCCTCTTTAGACGCCACCAGACACCCCCGTATCTGATGGCCGAGGCCTATCTGATGGCCGAGGCCTATCTGATGGCCGAGGCCTTCAACGACCGGTCCTGCGCTGCCCGCATCCAGATACATTCCCACACGTTTACCAGGTCGTCAGTCCACCTAGTGGCCGGCCTACGCTACGTCTTATAGTAGGTAAATTACCGTTTTATCTTTGAGCATCACCACCCTGCAGTTGAGCAAGGCCTCAGAGCCCACATGGGCCGTCACTTCCATGTACTTCTCGTCTTCGAAGTATGGCCCCCAGTGGTGCTCGTGGTGGTGGTCATGGTAGCTCTGGTAGGGAGCATTGTAACGGGGTTCTTCTATCCTATCTGCGGACAAAAGTTAACTTTAAAGATGTGCAGTCAGAGTTATTTTTTAGGACTAGAAATTATGGCAAATATGTGCGTGTAGACAATCAACATTCTTTTTCGATGCGAGATTGTTATTTCCTCATATTCCTAAGTTGCATGGTACGATGTAATATTTAAGTACGAATCACAAATAGACCTGTATGTCAAAATCTTGTAATAGCATAATATTTTCACTGTGCTTTAAAATTAATTTTGCTTTATTAAAAGGTGAAGAAAAAACTGGAAATTATAAGCACTTTTGAATTCGTTCGATCAAGTTTGCTTAAAACATCTATCCCAATTCTTCCTACACCAGTATAATTTGACAAAGCGTGTATATAGGTACGTACCTATTTAAAGCCGTAGCCTTTTTAAGAGGAGTTTCTATTACCCTCTGTAATTATACACGTAAACTTTTACCATCGCTCTAAATTTCACCATTAAAATATGTCACGAAACCTCTTTTGAAGTAAAGACGTTTTTTGTAATGGGGGAGCCATTCAGGTGTCAGGATTTAATGAAAAATCCAGTCTGCTTTTGACAAAATGACATTATCAAGGAGTGACTCGAATCTTACTTTTAACCATCAACCATTTATGTGACGTCATTTTAATAATTACGTCCCGGATATTGACTTTTTTTGTGAAACACTGCTGCTTGTTTGCCTCCTGTCCCATAAAAAAACACACACAAAAAGTCAATATCCGGTAAACATATAGGTATTCTTTATTGAAAATCGGGAATCATGTACCGCATCATAATTATATCCAGTAATATCTCTTTTAAAAAGTCTATACAAAACCACGAAAGTATAACATGTAATTTTTTTCCTGGAGTAAACAATGTTCGGGAAAGATATTAAGTTACTTAATATATACCGGGTATTATTCACTAATTACATATAATTATTAATACGCTAGTGAAATTATGGTAATTATAACTTGAAAGTAATTTTACACATCCATTTTCTGGATAATTAATACCACAATCTACAATGTAAGTACGTACAGAGATTGATAACTAGCGGTAGGTTTACTTAGATTATTATTATCTCACTATACCAACTATACGTTGAATTATAAACTAATGGAATTTTCAATTTTCAGGTGACATTATTACTATAAGTAGGTTCAGTTAGCGTAAAACAGTTCCTGACATTGAAAGTAGCCAATTTTTACTTGTAAAGAATAAATAAAAAAAATAAAATGCGCAACATAACATAGCGTCTTTGTTAAAATTGGACTAACTTTTTGGCCACTTTGCGTGTCACGAACTATTTGACGCAGACTATACGAGTGGTAAAAAAAAAACAAACAAAAAGCACATTCAAATAATTATTAACCAACTTCAAAAGCATCAAAGTTACAAGGGTCATGCATAAACATTGTGTAGTTCATTTATTAAATTGTTATGCAAAACAATACTGTTGGCCGGGACGATAGTTATCTGTCGAAACTTTGGGAATAATTTATTTTATTCGTATACACTCGGAGAATTGCGATAAAATACACTTCAATTGGTATTTCAGCAATAAATTTAATGATTGTTTTAACCAATTTACTTAACTATGATAAATAATTGATAAGGTTCGGTTACGAGCTTTTTTGTATTTGTCATCAAAAATTAATGTATGTTTTATTTTAAAATTCATTAAGTATAAACTGATTAAAACGTATTACCTACTTGTTGAACTTAATTAAAATACTGGAATTTATCGAGATTTTATTTGAATTTAAATGTCAAATCATAATCGTATTTTAATAACAGTATTCATTGATTGTTATATTGAAATATTGTTCCGTATTTATAAACACGTTTCACAAGGACTAGTTCCGTTTCAAAAACAGCAAACCCGTTAAAGTTTCTAACACAAAACACAACGTATCACAACTTGAAAAATTGAGGGTATAAATATAAAACACGTCCCTCGGGCCCTATACTCACTCTGTAACAAATGTTCGTTTCTGTCCGTGGCGCCTTCCCTCCTGATATTCTCCCGGAGGTGTTTGGTGATGTTCCTAAATATCTCCCTGGATAGCGCCAGGCTGTCCTTGTCATCGCTCCGTCTCCGCCTGACACCATTCGAGCGGTAGTCCTCGGGAAATCGCAGTGGCTCTGTACAAAATCGTAAATAATGTTTTTAGAGTCTGTTGCCCGTTTTACCATCAATCCCTATTTTTAAGTGACCCCTATGAACACTTAACTCCGGTAATGTGTTACCATACCAATTTGAATTTTATTCGGATCAGTTAGTAGACATTTAGGCTGAGTTGCACCCCCTAACTTTAACGGTAACTATGACGATAACCGGTGCTTTTTGTATGGAGTTTGACGATTTTTGACGTTTGTCAAAGTTAAAGTAAGATGGTGCAACCCACCCTAAAACTGCCCTTTCCTAGGTTACAAAAATACTCTAGTTATTTAATTTTTAGCGTTAAGAGTTGCATCTCAAACTAATTAGGCCTTAGGCAGTAAGATTTTTTCAAGTTATTTATAAATTTCAAAATCCTCGTTGCTTTTTTTTTAATTGAAGGGATGCGCGCTGGTAGCTTGAGGACCTTTTCCAGCTTCACCGTGCAGAGTGGCGAGTACAGAAGCTACTCTAGCCGTTTGGCGATCGTCGGTGCGCGTGTCGACGAGGCCGAGTGTCTCTCCAGTTGCTGGTTGCCAGTTGACTACCAAATTATGGGTTGTCCTCAAACATACGCGACTTACATAGCCGCATAATATGGGACCAATGAGCCGGCCAATCAGTTGGAGCATGAATCGTGACACTTATGAAAAATTCACACTGGGCCTTATAATCCGCGATTGTTCGCCAATCAAGAGATTGCTACTAAGTAAGCCTTAATTTATGCATTTTTATTACCAAAAATATGTATTATTTTGTCTTTTTTCGCAGAAACGAAAGCCGAACATTTATATTGATTTCTTTTCTTAACTTCTCAATACTGATTTTGTAATACCAGAGTAAAAAATATTTGCGTTTTTCCTTAAAAACACTCCTTACATGTTATACTTACCTACAATATAAAAAAATAACGCAGACAAATCTTGAGTTTCCAAGAGGAAAATCCCTCTGTTGTGACTGTCAAGGTTGGTTTTATTCCACTGTAAAGGTTTTCGCCAATAAGTATTACTCTTATATCATAATTCAAAGAAATCTTTTCGATTGTAACTTATGAAAATGTACCTTATTTTAGAGCTAATATGAAAATATTCCATGTATCAAATATATCTTTAACAGAATTTAATAAGATAGTATCCATCGGTTTCTAGGAAACACTCGCTTCTCTAACATTTTCGTGACATCGAAATATTCCTAATAGGCTTAGTAAATGATGATATTTTTTAAGAAGAAGAAGTTATAGGTCCTAAGTATATAAAAATAATAAGGCTTAGTTGCACCACCTTATTTTAACCGAAACAATAACAATAACCGGTGCTTTTTGTACCTATATAGTTTGACAAATATTTGACGTTTGTCAAAGTAAAAATAAGATGGTGCAACTCAGCCTTAGTATTATAGTTATGGTATAGCTATTTTTGACGCACATAAGTTTCCTGCAAAAAGCTTTTCAAAAATACAGGCTTTTAATTCCAAGATTAGTTTGGACATAGAATGGCAATCTTTAGGTTTCATAAACGTGCAAGCTACGAGTATCTGTAAACATAGAGCTATTGTATGCTATAAAATAACGGCTCATTCTCCGAATAACAGCACACAGTGTTAATGGTTAAAATAAATCAGATTGCGGTAACTATTATAGACTTACCATTCACTGTATTATGGACGACCGAAACGCTACGTGTATTTAAAGCGGTCACCAAATTTTATCATTTTGCACTCGCTTGTGCCGTACATAAATAATTTTCCAGCATTGATAACAAATTGGAAGCTTTGTTTCATAAAAAACCGTTCGCTCCTGGTAATCCGTTCACGTTGCAAATGGAAATTCTCTTTGTTATTAAAATCCACTCAACTCCAATTTTACTTTGAGATTGGGAAGTCTTTAGGCGGGAGATTCAATTTGTTTACACGGCAAAGTTTAGGATATCACAGATGCGGCACTGTCCATAACGAGAGAGCAGTTAGTGAGAAACTTTAGTTTACGTAGTTTAGTTACATAGTAAGGATGGAGTCGACTGCGAAATGGTTCTTACTGATAACTAAACTTATGAAGTGCCTGAATGGTCTTGACGTCGCACAACTATCTGCAGGTACTTTAGGTACAGAAGCTTTCATTTTAATAATGAGACTAGGGACGGGCTGATAATGAGTTTGCTTCTATTTTGTTTATCTTATAACAAAAAGGGGCTAATGGCCAGTACGGTGTAGAGTTTCTTAGCTGCGCGTCAGATTTTTTATAAATAAAGGACCTTCTTGATACTGCAAGTGTATTGAGCTCAAGGGCTAACAGCTAATAAAATTCAGTTGTTTAACAATGAAATGTTACAGAAATGTACTTTGTCTACTAAATCTAATTACCTACCTACTCCCTCTTTAAAAAGTAAACCAGAAGCCTGGTTTTATACATTCTCGTATTATTTTATTTATTTCTTTGCACAGAACAGAATCAATAGGCGAATTACATGCTGGCACTCTCTTCTTCTCTTCTATTTTTACGCACTCTCCAAATTTCATTTTGCGAAAATCCACATGATTTGAATATTTTTACAGATTAAAAAGTTAATAGAACAGAAAAAAAATTTTGGTTCTAACGTTATTTTCATACAATACTCTGCCGAATATTCTAACACGAAATCATGTTGGAAACTACGAGTAACTTTGCATGAACGTCTTAAATTATCAATTTGTTAGGTGTTCGAGAAAGTTCTACCAAAATATGAGACTGACGTGGGTCTAAGTAAAACATTGCATCTGACAAAGGGGATCAAAGAATATGTTTAGCGGTCGAGCCTGCGGCTTAGAATGTTTGAAAGTCTATATTTTAAAAACTAGATTTCGGTGAAGTGATAAATAAAATACATAGTATTTTTAAAAGTTTTTAGAAAGTCTGTTTCATTCGTTCGTTTCATCAGAAGGACGTAGACTGCTAGACAAAGGCCTCTTCCAAGGATTTTCACAAAGACCGGTCCTGCACCACCCTCATCCGGGCACCTCCCGCGACTTTCACCAGATAGATCGTCGGTCCACCTAGTGAGAGGCCTGCCCACACTATGTCTTCACACTGTTTCTAGTAGTTTCAGCTCATTACTAGCGGCCGCCCGCAGCTTCGTACGCGTGGACCCCGTTTTACTCTCTTGGAGTTTCCTAAAATTTCAAGTCCTGCCAGTTTCAAGTTTTTAGGTGTCATCGTTTCTGAGATTTCGTGATTAGTGGCATTTTGCATCTCTATTTATTATACATTTATACGTGGAAACGGTAAGTGATCTCACTTGATTATTTCTAAACTATACTTACAAGATATCGAAAAACTGGTTAGAGATCCTGAGAGTGCTACACGAGTTCTATGAAGATTTATTAGTAGGTTACAGTCAAGTACTAAAAATAGGTAACAGAACAAACTGGATCTATCCGAAAATTCAATGTTTCAAGGGTAGCTTCGATACATTTAGTACGGTAAGTAATCTCACATTAGCTTTTATTTAGCTACTTAATACCTACCTATCTATTCTATTGAAAATAGTTAAATATTTGTATGTTATTAATTTTGTTTGTTGATTCTGAAGGACTGTTTGCACTGCGCTGTCAAATAGAGTCGAGTTCTAATTAAAATTTGAAATAATGTGAAAGTTTTATAACCGTAGCGGAGAAGATCAAACAAGGCCTTACTGATTTTGAAATTGTTTTATTGATTCTGTCAATTTATAATTACTTTAATAATTAATAATATCCGTGATTTTCCTTTACGGCAGGTTTTTAATAGAAAATTTCAACAAATTATTTACATTTAATATAAAATCAGTCAAGGACATCATTGCTTGCAAACATTTTCAGTAAACTTGACTGATATGACTACAGACTAAATTCAATGTTTGTCTCTTCAATTATCTTCGATTCGACATGAATATTAATTGACAAAAAAAAATAGGCGACGCCGCGCTAATGCGCATTAAGATGTGGTGCACACAGGTCCTTAGGCTACATTGTAGCGCATACATAAATCTCAATGAAATTAAGGAATTAAAGTTTCACTTATTGCTTCACAAGTAAAAATATCAGAAAGTTCATCATTATGCTTTTGGTAAGAAATCTACTTAATTATATCGCATAATGCACGAAAAAGTTATCCTGTGACACACCAAAATGTACAACTCGGTAGAGTTAACTACACACCTGGCCGCCGTGACGTCACATCGACGTTCTGTACCTCTAGTACGAAAAACTTTCGAGTTCGTTCAAAGTGTCATCGAAAAATTTTGTATGAAAAATTAAACAGCGCCCACTATATTATAGCCGCCCTAGGGGGCGCTGTTTAATTTTTCATACAAATTTTTTCGATGACACTTTGAATACGCAACGAAACGAACTCGAAATTTTTTCGTACTAGAGGTACTGGTACGGATGGGGCGAACGCGGCGAGGTGTAAGGGTAAGTGCGAGGGAGTCGCATTTCAGCGCAATTAGCTCGATCGGGTTATACGCAGATATCTTTGCGGACAGTTTTTTTTTAAACACAGACTGAACCACAGATTACAGAAACTAAAGGGAGATGTGACAAAGGGACGGGGCCGGTGTCGCAGCAATATGCCCAAAAACAGAACACATTGCTCGTGAAAGCAATGATGACAGCAGCTACGTCATATTGTAAACAGTTTACATTGCTTGCGTACTACCAAAGATTATTCGAACGTTGAGTATTAATACCGCAGTGGATAATGAGTATTAAGGAGCCCATATTTTTATTACTTTGTGTGTGGTATCGGTAGGTACCTCCCTATGTCAGTAACAAGATTATGTACATGGATATCAAGCTGGATACAGTGAAACAGCAAATTGAAAAGTACAGTAAAAGTTACCAACTGAGACTGGATAGTCACAGAAACGAACTCGCCTCTCAACTGCAAGGAACTGGCAGTCTCCACTTTTCTAGACTGAAGAGACATAGCATTCAAAACCTAGCGAAAAGATTCGCAGTGAAAGAATAAAGAGATGACTCACTGGACTAGTCTCTTACTGAACGCCTCAAGAACCGGATTGAAATCGGACAGATAATTGGATTATTGTTTCGCGGAAACAGATTGCCAAGTAGCAGATAAAAAAAAAACTTTGTGTGTGTGAATTTCTAATACGACACTGAGTTTCGAACTCAGCTCATTAAGCAGGGTACTCACGTAGCCGTGTAGCATGTAATGTATCAGTGTGCCTACCATGAGTTTACGTTAGGTGTGCTCGCTAGCGACTGCGTAAAAAAATGACATTTAAATGTATGACATATTGTGCAGCGCCCCTAGCGGCTACTTTCAAGAAATAAAATCTTCATAGAATTTTTTGACGTATTCGCTAGCGAGCTCACCTAACGTAAACTCATGGTAGGCACACAGATACTGTATCAAGTTCGCAGGGAGATCGCAGCGACCCACCGAGTGGCGGTATCACTGCGAGCACAAAGGCGGCTCGCAGTAGGATTCAGGAGCTCGCAGCCAGATACGCGATGACCGTGCATAAGCCGTACTCATTTGAAGGTTGGTTACGTTATATGCTACGATGCGTGCTACATGGCAGGTGAGTACCCTGCCTTAGGCATCTCTCTTTATCTCTATGGACTGAACGCTATTTATTTTTAACAGATACAAAATTAAATGTTATAAAAATATTAAAAATCACTTACCAGAGGCAGTATGTAGGCAGCATAATGCTAAACACACGAAGTAGAGGCCGTCCCACTGCATATTAGAGTGAACATCACAGAAGACGCATCACGCCCCTTCACCTGTTAACAATTCATACGGTTAATTATGTCTTCATAGAGTTTGTAACTTAGATTGTTAACACGAGTAAATATTTCAATGTTATTTCATCAAAGTAATTGTTAACGTGACGTGTACTTTGATAAAATGACTTAGTGTAATAAAATAATTGAATATAGGTACTCGTAGACTGTTGCGTTTTGTAATAACTCTATCAACTTACAAATCAATGCTTGTCTTAAAATAGTACAAGTTTAGGTATATTAGTTCTTAATTTCTCAAACTCCCACGTGGATTTGTTTGGACCAAAGACTAAACCTCTCCGACGGCTACCCGAATCGCAACTTTGGCCAATAACAAAAATCAAAAACACTTAGCACTTTTCTACTTGACTCATTTCAAAGCTAGAAATCTCTCACATTGAAGGCCTTTAGTACAGTTTTGGCTATTCTATAAATAGCAACTGTACCAAAATTAACATTAAAATGTAACTGATAATTTCGGCTCGGTATCACCAAATAAAGTTCCCAACTTTGATAGTAGGGTTAATATTTTAAGAGGCGGTAATTGGTTCGTGCGTGTTTGAATAATCCATAGATCCATGTAGGCTAGTGATGGGTCTGGTTAGGGTATCTGGTCCCAAGAGGTCATGAGTACGCGATGCGTAGACCATACTAAGAGCCAATGCCCACGATACGTTGCGGCGCCGCACCGCAAACATTTCGCCGTATCGCCCGTTTGCCCGCCACAGTGTGCTTACCTTGAGTTTACGTTAGGTATGCTCGCTAGCGAGTACGTCAAAAATCTATGAACGTTTAATTTCTTAAAAGTAGCCCCTAGGGGCGCTGCACAATATGTCATAGACATTTAATGTCATTTTTTTACGCAGTCGCTAAGGGAGCACACCTAACGTACCTAAACTTATGGTAAGCACATAGATATTTATGTAAGACGACGCAACGAGTTCGCTCCGGCATCGCACCGCCTCCATAATGCATCGTGTGCTTTGGCTCTAACAGCGATTCAACCATAGATTAGCAATAAATATAAAGAAAGCTAAGTAAACTAAAATAAATCAGGCCCGTTTTCCACCTAAGCGGAGTGGAGAGATGTGTTTGAGTAACCAGTAAGATTTCGTTAGTTCCACACAAATTCTCCGTTCAGCTTCAGTTCGGAAATCTGATTCTTACACTTTTCTTGCACTTACTGATGAAATTTTATCTGTAAATAGCAACTGTACCAAAATTAACATTAAAATGTAACTGATAATTTCGGCTCGGTATCACCAAATAAAGTTCCCAACTTTGATAGTAGGGTTAATATTTTAAGAGGCGGTAATTGGTTCGTGCGTGTTTGAATAATCCATAGATCCATGTAGGCTAGTGATGGGTCTGGTTAGGGATTCAACCATAGATTAGCAATAAATATAAAGAAAGCTAAGTAAACTAAAATAAATCAGGCCCGTTTTCCACCTAAGCGGAGTGGAGAGATGTGTTTGAGTAACCAGTAAGATTTCGTTAGTTCCACACAAATTCTCCGTTCAGCTTCAGTTCGGAAATCTGATTCTTACACTTTTCTTGCACTTACTGATGAAATTTTATCTGTAAGTGAAAAATTCATTGAACATAGGCAGAAGGAAGATGATCTTTACTATCTTTCACGTGCGAGTTCAACTGATTTGGTAAAGGTGATTATGTCAATGAATAAATAATTAGCTATCCTCAATATTAGCCGCCCGCAGCGGCGGCGCAGGACCGGTCTTTGTGGAAAACCTTGGGGGAGGCCTTTGTCCAGAAGTGGACGTCTTTTCGGCTGAAACGAACGAATATTAGCAATTTATTATAACGCCGCGGTTGAATGGAATTAGTGACGATGTTTTTGTCAGGTAATTTTTTGACTGTTTATGTGATTATTTCAATTAATTTAATCTTATTCCCTAATATGTATTAGCAATCCAGTTTACGACGCAGTTGAATAGAATTGCGCCAAATCATTTTCCATTTGCTATTCGTGTTCCAAACTTATTTATACTCAAATTGGCCGTTTATGATCACTTTCAGGTTATTTGGCAAGAAATAATAGTTGACAGTTTATAGCTTCGCTTTATGTAGGTACACGCGGGTGTTATGAAAAGGCGTTTCAGTGACGTGAACTAAATTAACTTGCGTTGGATTTCCGTTTGAGCATGACTTTATGAATATTATATCTGTTGACACTTCCTGAAGTTTTTCAAGCACAGTGTTTGAAAAGGACCTTACCTCTGAAATATTTTTAGTTTTTATTTAAACTAAGCTAATAGAAATAAACACGTAAAAGATGTAGATACCAGAATTGGAAAAAATAGTTTTCAGCTCTGAATAACACTATTTTTCAAGGTTCTATAGGATTATCTGGAAAAGGTATGACAATATAGAAAACCTCTTTGTTATTGTAAAAGCGACAACGACTAACAAAGTGCAATGATTATCTTCGAATAATTATTACATTTTCAAATTCTATAAATTAAACTTATTCTTAGTATTCCTTCCATTTGACAATTTTTTCCGTAGGCACAGAGTTCTATTTCGAAATCCTGTTCAAATCCTAATTAGACATTAAGTTGGTGAAGCTATAAATAATAATACCCATTCCGCTACAGCGCGGGAGCTCCCGATTATGTGGGGGAATGAGGTTATGAAACAATAAGTATGACCTAGAACAAATCTGCGGGTGTTTTAGGCTTCCAGCCAAACTAGTCAACCTAATTTTGAAAGTTGTTCAAACAGCCATATTGCTGTGCAACATTGTCTTTCCATAAATGGTGGTAGAATTCTTCCCGAGACACATTAAAAGTAAGAATAATTTAAATAAATATTTCAAAACAAGTAACACGACCTATTTCTATTCCATTTCAAGACAGTTTAAAAGACCGCTCCCTGGCAAATTAAAACCTAACAAAAGGTGCTTCCTCACCTGGAGCATATTCTTGTAATGTAATATTTCAGATTTGATTGTTACTAGTTATGTCAAAATAGTGCAAGTTGTATTTATCAATTTGCGCACTGTTACGCTCGGTTCGCCTCTTTCACTGATGTAATTAATGCTTTGTAACATTATATTACAAGCAAATACCTACGTAACGTTACCTTTATAAGATAACAAACACTACACTAGGTATCGCAGATAGTTAAATACATCTACAAGATATAGGTTGCTTGTTACCCTCATAATCTCATACCCAGACCTGGGAATCCAAAAGTTGTAGTTTATGATGGATAGATAAGTTCCTAATAGGCTTTTATTAACTTTATCAGCAAGGGTCAAACAGACCCTAAATCGTTTACACCACCTTATGAGGCGAGGTAAGAAATAAATCCTATCGGTTCTTTATTTACAAAAATAGAGGAAATAAGATTTATAAGATAAAGTTAAGAACGAATGCCAGTGGTACTACAAAACCTCTAAAAGAACTGTTTCGTGGAGTCTGCAAAGTTGAGATAGCTCGAAAAGTGTTGTGGAGAATTTTACTCGTAGAAAAAACCGTTTAAAAAGTGAAGCTTCGATATGATTGCTGCCAAAAATTATTGTCATGACCTTTATTTAAAACGAAAAGGTTTGTAAACTAATTAACCTTTAAACTTTAAATAATAATGTTGATTAATATTGAAATAGCAGTGTTTATTCATTGCGATGGGCATCGCTGTGCGACAGGGTGGCACTGCTTAGTTTACTTGCTCATTCATTGTATGTTTTATGTCACCTCTGTCTTATTTGCTTTTTTTTCCTTTTACCTCTTTTGTCTTTTGTGATGTCCATGGCAATAAATGTTTCTTTCTTTCTTTCTTTCTTTATATTCGCCTAAGAGTGAAGACTAATGGTAAAATAATAATCAGTTTTAACAACCACAAGTCTTTGTCTTTAAAATAAAGTACTAGGATGGTTCGAAAATACGTCTCAAGGTCACATTCTTTGGTTATTTTAAAGGACATTGTCAGAAACCGCCTAAAAAACCGCCCAAAAACATTAACCCATCATAATTATTTTCTATTTTTTTTAATACATTAAGCACCCTTTCATTCTAATGGACACTTAAGCATTGAAAAATTAAATAAATAAGTCTTTAAACGTTTATTCTATAATACTATTACAACTTCCGGACGTTTTGGTGCGTGGCATGGTCTAAAACCTATCAAGTTCCATAATTTTTGCCGATAAAATCTGTACGAGGCATTACCGTACTTTATTGCTGGGAGTCCATGTATAGTGATGTTCCTGCGGCCATCATAGACAATAAAATATTAAAAGTGGAATGCCGAGTTGTATTTCTAAAACTTGTTCTATTATTTTATACTATTTGGCTGCGACTCGGCGTGACGACAATACAAAACATTTTTCGCGAATCGGTGTTCATACATTCACACAATACATTAGACGCCATGTTGTCATAAACGACATATTATAAAATCGCTGTGATTTAATATTCTTAATCATTAATTTTATGGCAAGTGTCCATCAGGAATCATTGTTCTTACACACAGAATCGTATTATTTCGCTTTCGGGTAGTAATATGTCAAAATTGTTGGTTCTTAGGCGAACAATGTATGGAGAACGAACATTGTCCTTTATCATAGAATCGATTTGTTACACTGACTGAAAAACGTTTCTAGTATGTAGCCTTGCTTATTCCAAAAAGTTTTATTAAACACATTTTTAAACCAATGTATTAAGATGCTAGTAAAAATAAGGTTTTGATCTTTTTTGCTATTATAAAATACCTACTTATAACTAAATCCGTCAACACAAGCTCCACAAAGCCGCTTCAATGTAATATCGTCAAACGTTACTAACGACAGGGAGCTATGAAACGCGTTTTTATCATTATTTTCCTCGTGGAGTAATCAGCCTATCGAGTCGAAACAAATTGCGCCCTCGAAGGGGTCATAATGCCAATTGTTGTGGCGATTGCGGTGATAGAGTTTAGTGTGGAATTGCCATCAATTTTGTTTCTGTTCGTTTTTTTTTCACGCTTAAGTAGGTACGCAT